GGAAAAGAAAAATTCTTGAATAAGTAACAGATAAAGTTTTTCCAAATTTAGTGAAGAACATAAACCTACAGACAATAAGTTCATGAACCCCAAACACAATAAACATGAAGAAGTTCACACCAAAACACATGCTTAAAACTAGTGATAAAGAAAAAAAAATCTTAAAAGCCATGAGCATAAAAAATGCACACTATACACAGAGACAAATCTAAGAATTACAGATAATTTTCTATGTAATCAGTGCATACAAAAAGTGAGGAAATATCTTTACATGAAAGAAAAAAAGTATAAATTTTATACCCAGTAAAAGTATCTTTTGAATATAAAGATAAAAAGAAAATCAGAAATATAAAAGATAAAGTAACTCATCACCAGAAATATATGCAGAAAGAACTATTAAAGAAATCTTTAGTAAGAAGGAAAATTTTACCTGATGAGAATCTGGATTTATTTAGGAATGAATAAATGAATTATAAAACCGAGGGTTTATCTGGGAATGTATGTAATATTTGGTTTCTTATTATTGAGATCACTTGAAAAGATGATCAACTTCTTATAACAGAAATAACAGTTGTATCACAGGGTTTATATTAGCTCCAAAAGAAAAATGAACTAAAACAATGACGTAAGAGCACAATTCACATTTAAAAGTTTATTGGAATTAAACTTTTGTAATGTCCACATAGTATATAAAAGGTAGTATAATATCATTTGGTAGAGTCTATGATAAGTTAAAAATGAATACAATAAGCCTTAAGTAGACCCCCAAAAGAACTTCAGCAGAGTTATAACTAAGATGCCAAAATAGGAAATAAAATGGAATCATTAAGAATACTCTAATAATACAAATGAATGAAGAAAATGAGAATAACAAGAAAAGAGAATATATGAGATAAAAAGAAAACAAGTAGCAATATATTAAGTTTAAATGCAAGCAAAGAAGTCCAGGGTCCTTCCAAGAATCAACGTTGTTGTGAAGGGGCCGGCACCGTGGCTCACTTGGTTAATCCTCCACCTGTGGCGCCGGCATCCCATATGGGCTCCAGGTTCTGTCCCGGTTGCTTCTCTTCCAGTACAGCTCTCTGCTGTGGCCCAGGAGGGCGGTGGAGGATGGCCCAAGTGCTTGGGCCCTGCACCTGCATGGGAGACCAGGAAGAAGCACCTGGCTCCTGGCTTTGGATTGGCACAGCACCAGCTGTGGCGGCCATTTGGGGAGTGAAGCAATGGAAGGAAGACCTTTCTCTCTGTCTCCCTCTCTCACTGTTCGTAACTCTACCTATAACATAAATAAATAAAAAATATTTTAAAAAGTTTTTTAAAAATGTTGTTGTGAAATACAGTTGGAAATAGATTCATGGATCAAATGATGATGCACAGTATGAATGAGAAATCAATATCAATGCAGAAATCATGAACAGAAATTTTGGATATTAAAAATCAAGTTCGTGAGATAAAAATACAATCAAGAGCTTCAACAACAAAATGGACCAATTTATTGATCTTGAGGACAAAACTTTGGAAATAATTCAGTCATTTAAAACTAAAGAGAGAAAAATTTGAAAGAATGAAGATGGCCACCACCTGTGGCACTGGCATACCATGTGGGCACCGGTTCGAATCCTGGCTTCTCCACTTCCAATCCAGCTCTCTGCTGTGTCCAGGGAAAGCAGTAGAGGATGGCCCAAGTGCTTGGGCCCTGCATCCATGTGGGAGACCCAGAAGAAGCTCCTGGCTCCTAGCTTCGGATCAGTCCAGCTCTGGTCATTCTGGCCATGTGGGGAGTGAACCAGTGGATTTAAGACCTCTCTCTCTGTCTCTCCCTCTCTCTGTCTGTAACTCTATCTCTCAAATAAATAAATAAAATCTTTAAAGAAAAAAAACTTGAATAAAAACTACAGCAGTCAAGACAATGTGGCATTGCATAGCTTGTCATATAGATCAATGGACTAGAACCAATTATCCAGAAATAAGCCCTTACATTTATGGTGAATTTTTAATAACGTGACAAGACAACTCAATGGGAAAAGAATAGTTATTGCAATGAGTAACACTCAGACAACTGTATATCTACATTCAATGGAATGGAGTTGGGTTCCTACATTATACCTTTTCTCCAGACTAAGCCAAAACAGGGGTAGATGTAAATGAAGAGCCAACACTTATAAGAAACTGTAGCAGTAAATCATGGTGATCTTAGTGCAGGCAATGGCTTCTTAGATACAGCATCAACATCACAAATGACAAAAAGAACACATAGGTAGGTAGGTAGGTAGGTAGATAGATAGATACATAGATACATAGACACATAGATAGATACATAGAGATAGATAGATAGATAGATAGATAGATAGATATAGATAGGTAGGTAGGTAGGTAGGTAGGTAGAAATATATAGAGAAAATGAGATAGAAATACAGAGAGAGGGAGATAGATAGATAGAGATATAGATAGAGAGAGAGGGAGATAGATAGATATAGATATATGATAGATATAGAAAGATAGATATAGAAAGATAGAGATAGATAGATAGATAGATAGATAGATAGATAGATAGATATAGATAGGTAGGTAGGTAGGTAGATAGAAATATATAGAGAAAAGGAGATAGAAATACAGAGAGAGGGAGATAGATAGAGAGAGATAGAGAGAGAGGGAGATAGATAGATATAGATATATGATAGATAGATATAGAAAGATAGAGATAGATAGATAGATAGATAGATAGATAGATATAGATAGGTAGGTAGGTAGGTAGGTAGAAATATATAGAGAAAAGGAGATAGAAATACAGAGAGAGGGAGATAGATAGATACAGATATATGATAGATAGATAGATAGATAGATAGATATAGAAAGATAGATAGATATAGAAAGATAGATAGATAGATAGATAGATAGATAGATAGATAGAGATAGATAGATAGATAGATAGATAAGACTTAATTGAAATTTTGAGAGACTGTGCTTCAGGGAACCCACAGAAGCAATACAAATATCTGTATTTTTAATTTTAGTTTTTCATACGTACAATGCACTTTGTAGATATAATTCTATGAACATAATGATATTCCCTCTCTCCCCCACTTCTTCCTACCTGCTTTCCGTCTCCTTTTTTTCTTTTTCTTTTTTGTTAGTTTTTTCAGATAACATATTTTAAATTCACATTTCAGTAAAAAGAGTTAATACTTAACTGGATAACAAGTTTAACAAGCAAAAAGTCCTGGTTAAGTGGGAATACAGACAATGGATATAAGCAATAACTGAACAGAAAAATGACCATTTCACCTATATGCAGTAAATTTTGAAATAATCAAATCATAAATCTGAATTTAGGCCGACACCACGGCTCAATAGGCTAATCCTCCACCTGCAGCGCCAGCACACCGGGTTTTAGTCCTGGTCGGTGCGCCAGATTCTGTCCCGGTTGCCCCTCTTCCAGGCCAGCTCTCTGCTGTGGCCCAGGAGTGCAGTGGAGGATGGTCCAAGTCCTTGGGCCCTGCACCCTCATGGGAGACCAGGAGAAGCACCTGGTTCCTGGCTTCAGATCAGCGCGGTGCGCCAGCCACAGCAGCCATTGGAAGGTGAACAAACGGTAAAGGAAGACCTTTCTCTCTGTCTCTCTCACTGTCCACTCTGCCTCTCAAAAAAAAAAAAAAATCTGATTTTAAAAAATTGTATCCAAGGTTGTAAAGATCACCTATAACTCAATGATAAAATAAGTAGCTTATTTTTAAATAGGCCAAATATTTGAATATATAGTCTCCAAAGATACAAAAATGGCCGATAAGCATGTATAATACCATCAGCCATTAGGGAAATGCAAATAAAAACCATGGTGCAATTCTATTTCACAGATAATACAAAGCATTGGCAAGAATCCAGCTCTCTGCTGATGCACCTGGGAAAGCAATAGAAGATGGCCCAAGTCCTTGGCCCTTGCACCCGTGTGGGAGACCCAGAAAAAGAAGTTCCTGGCTCCTGGTTTCAGATAGGTGCAGCTCCAGCTGTTGCAGACATCTGGGGAGCGAACCAGCAGATGGAAGACCTCTCTCTCTCTCTCTCTCTCTCTCTCTCTCTCTCCCCCCTCCCTTTCTCTCTCTCTCTCTCTCTGCCTCTCTGTAACTCTGCCCTTCAAATAAATTGCTTTAAAAAATGAAATTACTTGGGAGACTGTTGGGATGTTCAAGAAAACGGAAATTTAGGAAATTGCGCGTACAGCGTGCCCCGGTGTAAAAACGTGTAACAGCTGTGGCGAAATTTTATTAACTGCCAATTCTGTTATGAATCGTATTGTCAAATGTATCTGTATTTTCTACATTTTCAAAATGATCGTTTATTTTTGACAAACAAACAAACAAACAAACAAACAAAAACTACCTCATTCCCCAGAAACAGTAAAATGCGTGTACCCTCAGGTCTCAAGGGCGGCGCCCCAGCCACCTGCAGCCCCCCGGGAGCGGAGGGAGCCGGCGCCCGCGCACCGCCCCGCGCCGCAGCCCGGCCGCGCCCCCGGGGACCCTGAACGCGCAGTCAGCCCCGCAGACCTGCAGAGGGGGGGGGGACGCCCCTGCCGGGGGCCCCCGGGGACCCCGAGCCACGCGCAGCCCCCGAGGGGGTCCGCCCCTCCACCCTGTCTCTCCCTGGCCGCTGCCCCCCGCAGGGGCGCCCGCTTCCTCCTCCCCACGGCCTCCCCTGTGCGCGGACTCCTGCAGGCCGGGCTCCCGTGTGCCCGCTGCGGACCCCACCCTCAGTGTCCCCCCGGGGGCGGCCTCCTCCGAGGTCTCCGGACTTAACGCCGCGCGGGTGGACCAGTGCCAGCGCCCGGCCCGGGACTGCTGGGATGAAAGAGTGAGGGGCGGTAGACGCCGCGCAAAGCAGGTGGGAGGCGGGCAGGGACGCCCTCGGGAGGCGAAGTGCGGGCGTGGCCAAGCTTAGCAGGGGGCGTGGCCGGCGCCGCGGGAGAGCGGGGCGGGGCCCGAGCGGGGCGTGGCCGCCGGCGGTCCTCGCAGCAGTAGCAGGTGCAGCCCCGGGTGTACCAGGAGAGGCTGTGCGGCCATGCCCTCCTACACGGTCACCGTGGCCACCGGCAGCCAGTGGTTCGCCGGCACCGACGACTACATCTACCTCAGCCTGGTGGGCTCGGCAGGCTGCAGCGAGAAGCACCTGTTGGACAAAGCTTTCTACAACGACTTTGAGCGCGGCGCGGTGAGGACCCCAGCCGGGCTGGGGTCAGGGCTTGGTTGGGGTGACGGGGTCCCGGCTGGGCGCACCTGAGAGCCGGGTGCACTCAGAGAGCGGTGCTGGGGTAGGGGGCACAGCCTGAAGGGACCCCTGGCTGCCGCGCGGGTGAGGGAAGGGAGGAGTCCCGAGTGCGCTCTGGGAGGAGGAGGAGGAGGAGGCGCGCAGGGTCCTCTCTGTCGCTCAGATTCCTACCCTGATGCTAGGAGAGGCCCCGTCCCCGGCGCGCACTGCGGGTCCCGTTCCCCTGTCCCGCATGTTTGGGGCTTCTCAGAAACTCTCCTGGAAGCAGGGGCCCTGAGGGTCCCGGCCCTGCCACGGGGAGAGAGCGCAGGTCAAAGGAGCCGGGTGCCCTCTCTGTCCCCCTCTCCAGGCCTCGGTTTCCATAGCTGTGAAATGGAAGGCTGGCTTGAGTCTGGCCCCGGTCGGTGGCTCAGAGTGGCGCTGGCCGGTGTCTCCACACCTGGCCCGTTTTCAGTGTCCGGACAAGCCCCAGACGGAGGGAATAAGAGAAGCCAGGCCAGGAGTAGCCATCCCCTCCCCCAGTAGAATATACTCCAGGAAGGCCAGCCTGCCGAGACTGAAGGCTCCGTGGCGGAGGAAGACGGAAAGCGGCTTCCTTCCTTCTTGGCTGGGGACCCTGGAGCCGGGGGAATTCAGGGAAGGCGGGCAGCCAGCATTTGTCCCTCGGCTTGCTCTGTGGGGCCAGCCACTTCCCATGCCCAGGAGGCCGAGGCTCAGAAACCAGCTCGCAGTGCCTGGCCCGGTGCACAGCAGGTTCTCAGTGAATGACCGCGGGTAGTGGTCCCGGATGCACTGCCCTCTGTGACCTCCAGCCGACAATCTTAGACTTTTCCCAGCTCTCCTTCTCACCGTGTAGGTAGGTCAGATCACACAGAATTCCGCGTAACTTGCTGGGTTTGACAGACACACCTGGCAATTCCGCGTTTCTGTTGGCTCTAAGCCGTGGAGGTGTGTCTTAGGTCTGCAGACCCCAAAGGGGGCGAGTCATATTCTCCTTTTTTGGGTTCTGAACTCCACGTGGGCTTCCTTCCTGCCCACCCCGAGCCTCAGAACTCCGAGGTAACTTGACATAGCACCTAGCCAGGTTCAGCATGCTGCTAGCCTGGTTTGGGCTTCCTTCCACAAGAGTTAGGGGTTGAGGATGAAAATCACCTAGAGCTTGGGACCCTCCCATCAGGGCACTGGCCCTGAGGACACTGGCGCAGTGGAAGTAATTGCTCATGCATCACCCAGGCGCTGATTTCCATGGATTCCCCAGAACCTAGGGGAGGGGGCCAGGACACAGGACACGGGTGACTTAGTGAACCCGCTGCTGCGCGCACGTCTCCACGAGCCAGCAGGGTGCGCTGCGGTGCACGGGTGCGCAGCCTGTGGGCTGCCTGCCCAGGAGGGAGACGCAGAGATCCGGTGGTAAGGAGGGCACGGGTCGATGCTGAAAGCACCTCTTGTTCTTAGTCCCTCTCTCTGTCTCCCTCCCATGCAAATAACATCGCGAGTGAATACCTTGGTGAGAAACCCAGAAGCAAATTTTGGGAGAGCTTTGCATGTCAGATGTGGGGGAGGGAGAGAGAGCAGGAGAGAGATCCAGCCAGCAGCAAAGCAAAAGGGGACTGCGCACAGCAGAGGAACCAGCTGGGGACAAAAGGCCCTCAGGGAAAAGTCAAGCTTTGAGAAGGTTCCTGTTGATGCAGTTACTCCACACTTTGTCTTGCACAGCCCAGAGCCACTTCCTCTTTCTCCAGCCAGTGGACATTTTTAAAGAGAATCCTTCCCTTTTGGGTAAAGGTAAAAAAGAGAGAGCTTAGAGGAAGTCATTACTGAAGATGGGGCTCTCCCACTTACTCTTGTGAGCAGCGACAATTGTGACTGCAATCAAAGCTGCCCCCTTAGCAGTCAGCTTGGCCATTTCCAGGTCACTGGCAGGGCAGTGCCTCCTCCCCCACCAACTCCATTCACAAGTCAGTGGAATAATCAAGACTGATACTTCTCAGTGAATCAAGTTAGGGCTCCCTGACCATTCTCACCAGAGCTGGGCACGGTGGCTCAGCTCAGCACTGGGAACTGAGTCCTTCACAGGTGGCCCTGGCCTGGCTCCCCACTGCGGGCTGGGGATATCCCCGGTGGAGAACCCAATGGCCTTGCACCTTACACAGCAGGCCTAGGCAGATCTGGCAAATCGCTTCATTCCTTCAAATCCATTATTTACCCATGCTGTATTTGTTGTAGATCCCGCTTCGACAGGCAGAGTGGACAGTGAGAGAGACAGAGAGAAAGGTCTTCCTTTAATGTTGGTTCACCACCACCCCCCCCAGAGGCCACTGTGCCCGGCACCCTGTGGCCAGCGCACCACGCTGAATCTAAGGTGGGAGCCAGGTGCTTCCTCCTGGTCTCCCATGTGGGTGCAGGACCCAAGCACTTGGGCCATCCTCCACTGCACTCCCGGGTTACAGCAGAGAGCTGGACTGGAAGAGGAGCAACCGGGACAGAATCCGGCACCCCGATTGGGACCAGAACCCAGTGTGCTGGCGCTGCAGGTGGAGGATTAGCCTATTGAGCTGCGGTGCCAGCCTTGTTCCCTCTATTCTGTTGATTCCAAGTAATTCAAATCAGGTGACGTGAAGAGTCCTGGGAAACCTTGAGTGATAGAACTTTCGAGACAAATGCTTAGGGCTCCAGGATGATGCTTCGCACAGGTTTTTAACACGTCTTACAGGGCTGCGTGCTTCTTAAGTGTGTCCAGTGACTATTCCTTGTTTTTGTAGGGAATGCATTCTAGAACACACCCTTCTCATGAATAAGGATGTACTAGCAGAGAGCAAGTATTTCCACTCTGTGGCCCTGAACCTCAGTGTCTCCCAGTCCTCCCCTTGTGCCCTACCTCTTTCCTATGCTCAGCCTCCTCCTCTTCTCTGCTTCCTGTCCCCCAAGCCCCCTTTCCTGCCCCATAACCCTCCCTTCTCACCACTCTCTGTTGTGTCTTCCAGCTTCCCCAGCACCTCCCTCTCGGCTCCCTCAGTCCACAGCTCTTTGTCCCTCATTGTCCCTCTGTGAGCATAAATACTGCATGTTTCCCAGGTCTCTGTCCAGCATCTCAGCCCCTGCACTGGCCACTGGGTCCCCAGGACATCCTGGCTGCAGCCTCCCTCTCTCCCCCATAGGAGAGCTTGTTGGCTCAGTTTCTTACACCCGAAATGCCATGGCCACCGCCTTTCCCCACGCACTGCACCCCTGAATCTGAAGCTGCCTCAATACCATACGTCCTAGGAAGCTTTTTCATCTCCTTCTACCCCCACCCCTTCCTGCTCCATCAAGGTCTTGAGCCACGGATCAAAGCTAGATCTTGTGGCTCCCGGTCCAGGGCTTTTCCCAAAACGTGGCTGCAGGGAACAGAGGGAGGAACTTGACCTTGGCCTTCACACGGGTAAGGTTTCTAATCCCAAGGCCACCAGCCGCTCCCTAGCATGGTAGCTGCCCGAGTTGTCAGTCTCCATCTGTGAAATGGGATCATCCTCAGCTGTAGACACATACAGTGTGCACCGAGGCCCCATCTCTGGTGTCCACCACGCAGAGTTGAGTGCATCATGTCACAGCGCACGACAACTAACACAGCCCACAGAGGAGAGGAGAGGAGGGGCGGGTTTTCCTTGGGCTCCCCAGCCTGCCTCTGGCCTTGCTTTGCGGGGGACTCGTGTAGCCCTGATGCCATCCTGGGGGGAGGCCCTTCCGTGTGTCTGTGACTCTCCCCGTGACTGCTGCCTACAATGCCAGAGCCACAGCCACCAGAGTTTGTCCCTAAGTCTTGCTGAGCTGGGGCAGGGCTCAGCCCCTTGGTGCTTTTCCACCTCCTGTCACATCCAGGCCTTGAAACTAGGCCAGCAGAGCACCTAGGCCTGGCGGAGACCCTCCCTCAAGGCTGCAGGCTTGAGCTGCCCCTCACCCCCCCCATGGAAGACCCCATCACAGATGATATGGAGCCCCTCAGAGTCCAGTGGTCTCAACCCAGCAGAGACTCTGCCAGGGGCCCTCTGCCAGGTGCCTGCAGGTGTGGGTGGAACAGTAGCTGGGAGGACTCCATTCTGTGTGCCTAGGGATCACCCTCCCATCCCCTCCCTCAGAGAGGTTTCGAGTCTCCTGTTCATGGGTCCCTGCCCACAGCCCGACCGCTGCCTCCCTCTGAGCCCTGCTGCCTTTTGTTCCAAGGAACTGGACTCCTCTCTCCCTGCAGTGTCCCCCTGAGCCCCCACCCCGGGTAGCTGTTATTTGGAATGCATGGATGACACCTCTATGACAGGTCACGATGCTTGGTGGTTCACACCCAGTGCCAGCTTCTTACTAATGCCCACCCTGGGCCCCTGCCACCCGTGTGGGAGACCCAGATGGAGTTCCTGTCTCCTGGATTTGGCCTGGCCCAGTCCTGGCTGTCGTTGGCCATTTCGGGAGAGAACCAGCAGATGGGAGCTCCCTGCCACTCCCCACTTCTCTCTCCCCCATCCCCCCCTTCTCTCTCTCTGTCTCTCTTCTGGCCCCCGCCCATTCTCTCCACCTTTCAAATTAAATAAATCAATAATTTAGACTGGGACCCACTCCCCCTTACCCAGACTCCTTGGCACCAGTCTCTGAGGCCACTTCCCGCCCCCTCCAGCTACAGAAAAGCCACTTCCCCCGCAGCAGCCACCCCAGGTCCAGGCAGGCCTCCCAGCAGCCACTCCTGGGACCAGACCACATCCCAACTTCCCCCTGATCCACCTGCCCCACCAGCACCTAAATGTTTCCTGTCTGCTTCCGTCCTCACAGCCGCTTCTCCAGGCTCACGGGGATTCTCCCAGGGTTATGCACCCCGGGGTTCGGTATTCAGAGGCTCTGTTTCTTCCTCCCGTATGCCGTCCTGGCTAGTATTTTGGGCATGTGTGCCTGGGCGATCATAGCACTTAGGGTCCATGCTGGCTTGTGGCTGCTCACTTAGACTTCTAGGGGCACGCTGCAGGGGGAGGGCTCTTGCTGAGAGCTGGCCAGGCAGGAGCTGCCCCCATTCTCTGCATGAGTGGCATGCTCTCTGCAGGAGGCAGAGAGAGGAGGCTTCTGTTTTCCTGACCCTTATGGCATTTGGGTCTGCCTAAAAAGCCCATGAGAGTATTTCAGGCATGGAAAGCCAAGACACTGGCAAAAAAAAAAAAAATGACCTAAATGAAAGATCTCTGTGAGTGTGATCCCAGCGGAAAGAACGGGCCATCAAAGAAGGAGGTACCTTTCTCTGAAGGGAGGAGAGAACTTCCACTATGGCCTAGTATTTTGGGCATGTGTGCCTGGGCGATCATAGCACTTAGGGTCCATGCTGGCTTGTGGCTGCTCACTTAGACTTCCAGGGGCACGCTGCAGGAGGAGGGCTCTTGCTGAGAGCTGGCCAGGCAGGAGCTGCCCCCGCTCTCTGCATGAGTGAGTGGCATGCTGGTGGAACAGAAGGGTGTGCCAGCATGGCAGGAGGCAGAGAGAGGAGGCTTCTGTTTTCCTGACTGTAGCATCTGGCCTGGACAGCAGCCAGACTCCTCCCTGCTCCCTATGATCTAAGCCCGGACATCTGCTAAAAACATGAAACTTCTCCTTCCTCTTAGCAAGGAGGTCTTCCTAGCAGCCAAGAGGGAGGGGATGGGAAAAGAGATGCAGGGGGTCAGGGAGGGAGCTACCCACACCGCCTCACCGACATGTTGGGAAGTCTGGCTTAGCGCCTCAGCCAGCATAGAGGCCAGGGCTGCACACACCTTGGGACATGTGGGACAAGCTAAGCTTCCCCCCACTCTGCCATGGGTTGTGCAGTGACACAGACCTTACAGGTGCGGCTGCCAGGCCCACTCTTGTCTTGGAGGCACAAGACAGCCGGGTCCCAGGGCACTGCACACAGCACCTCCTGGCCACCAGGTCAGCCACTCATGCTCCTGATACAGTGGGACTCGCGTGGCCTCATTATTCTTGGCATTGCTGCACGGCTGTGAGCTGCAGCTGTCCCAGAGAAGGTGTGACCATGCGACCTCACATGTCTCTTCACCATCTTGTTGGCCCCGCTGAGAACCAGGAGAAGTGGCTGTGGTGGAAAGATCTAGCAGGGAAACCCAGCTCTGCCTCTCAGTAGCTGGAATGGGACTTACTGGGCCTCTGTGTCCTTATGCATGAAACAGGTTGTAACCCCATCACCACCACCTCTCACAGTGGCCATGAAGAGAGGCCTCCCCTGTGTGGGGGCAGGGTTGACCCCATTGGGACTGAGGCAGTGAGGACTCCCACTGAGCAGGGCTCAGCAGGTGCAGCCATGTGCCTGGGCATCTCCACTCCTCCAGCCTGGCCCCCTTCAGACTGCCCCCAGTTCACCAGGCACTGGGCCCCATGCAGACTGCCCCCCGGTTCACCAGACTCCAATGGAGTGAAGGCAGACCCCAAACTTGTCCATCTCTGCCACCTGGGGGCTCAGCACAGGGCCTGACCAAGGGCAGGCCTTTGACAAATGTCTTAGATAAATAAGCTAAAAGGTTCATTTAGAATCTTGGCTAAGACATAGACTCAACGTAGGTGTCCAATAACGGATGAACAGGAAAAGAAAATGTCACACACACACATACACACACACACACGGAGAGATACACATAAACACATGGAGATACTTCAGAATGTGGAAAATGAGAGTAAAGGAGAAGTTGGCTTTGATGCACAAAATTGAAATTCATGCATAATTTTTTAATCATACACAGTGTTCATGAGCTTCTTGAAGATTCTCTCATATTATAAAATGGAGTACTATTCAGCCTTGAAAAAGAATGGTGCAGCTGTTTAGCCTAGGGATTAAAATACCAGTTAAGATGCCTGTGTCCCACATAGGAATACCTGGGTTCAATACCCTGTCCCCGCTCCCAGTTCCAGCATCTTGCTATTGCAGACCCTGGGAAGCTGAGCTGCAGGGTTGAGTGAAGGGGTAGGGGTGGGGTCCCTGCCACCCACAAGGAGACATGGATTGAGTTCCCACATCCTGGCTCCTGTCTTGGTCCAGCCCTGGCTGTAATGGGCATTTGAGGAGAGAACTTGTGGATTGGATCTCTGATTCTCTCTCTCTCTCTCTCTCTCTCTCTCTCTCCTCCCCCACCCCCATCTCTCTGCTTCTCAAACAAATAAATATGTTTTAAACACAATTCTACCATTTGTTGCAACATGGTTAAGTTCAGTGAAATATACCAGACATAGAAAGACACATACTGCAGCTTCTTACTCAGAGGTGAGAACTAAAAAAAAAAGAAAAGTTGACTTCATAGAAGTAAGTTGACAATAGAAGAATTTTCACCAGATCTTGGGTTGGGTCGTGGAGTGGAGAGTACAGAAGGAATGAGTAACAGGAACCAAGACACAGCCAGACAGGGAGAATGGCTTGTAGCATTCAACAGTGTTGTAAGTAACTATTGTCCATGACAAATGACTGTCGATTTCAGAACACCTACAGAGAGGGTTTGTGTTTTGTTTTTGTTTTTGTTTTTGTTTTTGTTTTGTTTTGTTTTGTTTTGTTTTTGAGAAGCAGAAAGAGAACTCCATTCCATCTGCTAGTTCACTCCCAAATGTCTGCATTGGCCAGGGAGCCAAAGCCAGGAGCCAGGAATTCAATCCAGGTCTCTCACTTGGGTGGAAGGAACCCAAATACTTGAGCTGTCTTCACTTGTAGCCTCCTGGGGTCTGCAGTAGCAGGGAACTAGAACCAGGAGCCAGAGCTGGGAGTCAAACCACATACTCTGATACAAAACCGGGACATCTAAATCGTGAGAATAAAAGCCCACTCAGAAGAGAGAAATTTTTAAACTCATTTATTTATTCATTTGAAAGAGTGACAGGAGAAAAGCATACCCACTGAACTGTACAAATAGACAGCTGCAAAATGCATTCGGGAGCTGGCTGGGGCTGGGGATCTTGTTTGGGTGGAGAAGAGATTAAGAAGGGAAAGTCAGTGTAGCAGGGTTTGTGGGTGGCTCTGCCTAGCCTCCATGCCTCAAGGGAGCATCTCTCATTCCCTGCCTTTCCGGAACATAAGGAACGGGTGAGCCAGTTCCTTGCACCTGCTGTATGGGTAAGGTCCTTTCATGGAGCATGGTTACTACCCTGCCATTGACATAGCCTTAACTCCCTCCGACCACAGCAAGGCTGACCACCTGCCTGCTCTGCTCCTCAGGTGGACTCCTACGACGTGACTGTGGACGAGGAACTCGGCGAGATCCACCTGGTTAGGATCGAGAAGCGCAAGTACTGGCTCCATGACGACTGGTACCTGAAGTACATCACGCTCAAGACGCCCCACGGGGACTACATCGAGTTCCCCTGCTACCGCTGGATCACAGGCGAGGGAGAGATCGTCCTCAGGGATGGACGTGGTGAGCAGCTCTGCCCCGCAAGGCTGCCCGGGAACCATCCCTGGGTGTCGCACCTGCTCGGTGCCTCCATACACCTGCACCTGCGGAAGGTGTGCTCGTCCTAGGGCACCTGGAGCTCAAAGTAGGAGTGGCTGCAGGGTTGCCGGCCAGGTCCCCTCTATGTGACAGTTCTGCTGGAAGGAGCATCGTGCCCTGTTTTTCTGGAAGCCCTGTGAGGCCAGGCAGGGCTCAGGCAGGCACCCCATAGAGGAAGGAAGAGGTGGGTCAGGATTGCCAGGAATCCTAGCTCCAAGGGGCAGGGGGTGGGGTGGCGCAGCCACAGCAGGCCTGGGGTCCACCATGACCAGTTCTGAAACCTGAAATCTCACTTTCTACTGAAAGAGAGAAGAATCTAGAATCTGTACTCCCAGAGTATGACACCCCTTTGTCCACAAGGCAGGCTCCGATCCAGCACCTCCCCAGGAAGTCATCAAAGTCTTGACTCAGCAGAAATGGCTTCAAGTCATAAGCACTTGATTTGCTCCCAGAATAAGGAGAGAGAGGAAAACCCTTCAAATGCCACATAGCCACTGTTATAATAAGATAGAGAACAGGGGCTTCTCCCAGGGCCGGCCTTACTGCTTCCTCCCTGACCAAGATTTCCAGATTTACTTACTTAGTATTTGTATGGCAGAGTGCATGCGAGAGAGAGATCTTCCATACACTGGGTCTGGGGGGTAGGTAGGATGAGAATGATCCCTAGTCTCATTTTTTTAAAGATTCTATTCACTTATTTGAGAGGTAGAGTGACAGACAAAGAGAGAGACAGACAGACAGGTCTTCCATCCTCTGGTTCACTCCACAAATGGCCTCAGTGGCCAAAGCTGAGCCAATCCAAAGCCAGGAACCAGGAGCTTCTTCCGGGTCTCCCACATGGATGCAGGGGCCCAGACACTTGGGCCATCTTCTACTGCTTTCCCAGACCATGGCAAAGAGCTGGATTGGAAGTGGAGCAGCCGAGACTCTAACTGGTGCCCATATGAGATGTTGGCACTGCAGGCAGAGGCTTAACCTACTATGTCACAGTACCAGCACCCCATCCCCATTTTTGTAGCTAAGAAAACTGAGACATGGAAGACAAAGCCCTATGTTACCTAGTCTTGACTACCAGACTGTGTCTTACTGCTTCTGATGTGAAACGCCGCCAAGAGACACAATTCCAGGATTCTGTCTGGACTGGGTGATAACAGCCAGGTGGATGCTTGTCCCCAGCTTCACAGCAAGAAAACATGTCACAAAATCAGCTGTTCCAGGAAGCTGTCAGAATAGGAGGGTTCTGGGCTGGGTGATGCCCCTTCTCCAGTAGCTACAGAACACGGGCTCCCAGTACCCTCCCACCCAGCCCACCCGCATGCAGTCCCAGTTGCACACTGGACACATTGGACCACACCAGTCTAAGATCCCTTTAACATTTTTTGTTTATTTATTATTCATTTATTTCCAAGGGGGAGAGAGACAGAGAGAGAGAGAGAAAGACCTTCCATCTGCTGGTTCACTTCCCAAATGCCTGCGACAGCCAGGGCAGGGCCAGGCTGAAGTTAGTACCCTGGCAAGTATTCTGGACCACCTACAGGGGTGCAGGGACCCGAGCACTTCAGCCATCAACTGCTGCCTCCCATGCTGTGCCTTAACAGGAAGCCTGACTGGGGAGTGGACTTGGGCCTCCAATCCAGGCACTCTGATTTGAGATGTGGACTCTCCGGCGACCTCTCAGTCACTGTGCCAGACGTCCACTCCGCTAAGATCCCCCTTTCCTAAGCCCTCCTTGCATCATCCTGACCTCAGTGTTCCAACCTGTGTTTGGCTGGGAAGAGCTCCAGGGTCTGTGACCACATTGGCTGGAGCTGGGCTGATCTGAAGCCAAGGGCCAGGAGCTTCTTCTGGGTCTCCCACATGGGTGCAGGAACCCAAGAACTTGGGCCATCTTCTGCTGCTTTCCCAGGCTATAGCAGAGAGCTGGATGGGAAGTAGAGCAGCTGGGCCATAAACCAGCGCCCATATGGAATGCCGGCACTGCAGGTGGTGGCTTTACCTGCTATGTCACAGTGCCGGCTGCAAACTGTCTGAAAGATGTGATGCTGCACTTGAGTCTCTGTCCACCCACATGGAGACCTGGATGGAGTTACTGGCTCCCAACTTCAGCTTGGCCCAGGCCTAGCTGGTACAGGCATTTGGGGAGTAAACCAGCAGGAGGAAGATCATATTCTATCTTGCAAATAAAGAAGAAAAAACCCACCTAGCTCTGCACCACAAAGAACTGGAGAAACTCAGGCCAGAGCATAGGATGGCTTTACCGTAAATAATGGTATAAGAGTAGCCATGATTCAACCTCTTGCATGTCGAAGGCCCTGACAGCTCAGCGACCCTGCTCTGGGCCTCCCACCTCCACCTCTGAAATAAGAACTGTGAATTTGACAGCCCTGGGCACAGGAGGCCTTTGAAGCCCATGTGTGGAGGGAGGATGGGAAAACTCAGACCTTCTGAGGTGAGGAGCATGGTGATGATAGACTTTGTCCCTGTGCACTGAGCATTTATAAGGGTGCCTCCCCTTACCCCCACACTGCATTCCTCACTAAATCCCTTCTAGAGTGGGGGGGGGGTCGCACATTTGCCTCAGTGGTTAAGAAGCTGCTTGGGGACCAGCGCCGCGGCTCAATAGGCTAATCCTCCACCTAGCGGCGCCGGCACACCAGGTTCTAGTCCCGGTCGGGGCGCCGGATTCTTTCCCGGTTGCCCCTCTTCCAGGCCAGCTCTCTGCTGTGGCCCAGGAGTGCAGTGGAGGATGGCCTGGGTAAGCCACCGGAGGAAAGCTGAATGGTGGCACTCGGCGTCATTCTGCCTTCGGCGTCTCTCATTCTCATCCTACCTTCACAGCTAAGCTGGCCCGAGACGACCAGATCCACATCCTGAAGCAGCACCGACGGAAAGAACTGGAATCCCGGCAGAAGCAGTACCGGTGAGTTCTCCCGTGAGACCAGGAGGCGTGGGGTCGTGGCTTCTTCTGTGGCAGGAGCAGGTGTGAAGTGAGCCCTGAGCACGGCGTGTGGCCCGTTCGTGCTGTCAGGTCACCGAGGCGCCAAGTCCCCACGCTTCAGCTTTCCCCGGGTCATGCAGACATGGTGGAGAGGGGAGGGAAATCTCGGTACTGGCCACAGTGCATGTGGAGGGAGGGGCGCCGAGAGCCGAAGGGCAGCTCACTGTTCTCGCACCTGCCATTCTACTGTGACAGCAACATGTGTGCTACAACATAATCGGCAATGAAAAGCATGGTAAGCGTTTCTACAAAAGGCATCAACGAAATCCAACACCTCTTCATGATCACACACACACACACACACACAGACGCTCAGAAAATAGGAATTGACACAGGGCATCTGCAAAACTCACACATAGCAGCTGAAGGGTCTGACCAGGTCAGTTAGGAAAAGAAAAAGAAAGGCCCTCACATTATAGTACAATATGGAAAACTCTCACCATTCGTAAGTGACACAATCTTGGATATAGAAAATCCTAAGGAATACACACACACACATACATACACACACACTGTCAGGACCAATAAACCAGCAAGATTGCAGATAAAAGGTCAGTACACAAACATCACTTGTTTTCTTATACTCTCATGACCAACAATCTGAAAAATAAAATAAAAATAAAAAATATGTACAGTACCATCAAAGGGGATAAAAGTATTTATGAGAAGGTTGAACGAAAGGAGTCCCAGATGGTGCAGTTCCAACACTGCTGAAGGTAAGCTGCAGGAATGTTTGTGGATCACTGGACTTGACCTTGTTGAGATGGCAATATTCCTCAAAGTCGTCTACACAGCCAGCACAGTCCCTGTGAAAATCCCAGCTGGCTTTTTGGCAGAAATGAACTGGCAGTTCTGAAAACTCAAATGAAAATTCAAATAATCAAAAAAAAAAAAAAAACAACTTGAAAATAAAAAGAAAGAGCAAAGAGCAAAATTGGAAGACACACACACATATCCAAAGTACCAAGACTTGGTATTCAAGACTGTATGGTATTGCTATCAGGATTAGTAAAATTGGACAACCAATTTTATATAGTGTATATATACATCATCATTTCTTTGTCCAATCTTCAGTTGATGGGTATCTGGATTGATTCTGTATCTTAGCTATTGTGAATTGAGCTGCAACACATATGGGGGTAGAGATAACTCTTTCATATGCTGATTTCATTTCCCTTGGGTAAATTCCCAGGAGTGGGATGGCTGGGTCAAATGGTAGGTCTGTATTCAGCTTTCCAGCCACCGTGGCTGTACCAGTTTACTTTCCCACCAGCAGTGGTTTAGGGTACCTTTTTCTCCACATCCTTACCAGTGTTTGTTTGTTGATTTCTGTATGCAAGTCATTCTAACTGGGGTGAGATGAAACCTCATTATGGTTTTGATTTGCATTTGCCTGACGGCTAGTGATCCTGAGCATTTTTTCATGTGTCTGTTGGCCATTTGGATTTTCTCTTTTGAAAAATACCTGTTCAAATCCTTTACCCATTTCTTAATTGGTTTGTTTTGTTGTTGAGTTTCCTGAGCTCTTTTTAGAGTCTGGATATTAATCCTTTATAAGAGTTTGCAAATATTTTCTCCCATATTTTTTGAAATATAAACAAAATTTAAGAAGTAAAATTAAAAGTATATTTTTTAAAACTTTTACTTGTAGACGGTTAAGTTACTGATTTTGCGGCGTGTCAATTGTCTCAGTAAAGCTTTTTAGAAAACAGTCATGATGACACATGTAGAGTGCTCCTCTGGGAATGGCTGGCTGACGGCTAACTCCAGCCTCTAACCCTTTGTGGTAGGTCCTTGTGGAATAGGTTGTTTGCCACTTGTGGCAAAGCTCCTGCAGCCTTGTGGACCTGGGTGAAGACAAAGCACCCATAAGAAAGAACAATTTGCGCTCAGCCACTAACACGTTAGAATGATTAGAGCAGGGGCCAGCTAGTGTGGTGCAGCGGGTGAAGCAGCGACAGGTGACGCCAGCATCCCATATGAGCAGTGGTTCAAGTCCCGGCCGCTGCACTTCTGGTCCTGGCTCCCTGCGAATGCACCTGGGAAAGCAGTAGAGGATGGCCCAAGTGCTTAGGCCCCCACACCCATGTGGGAGACCTGGATGGAGTTCCTGGCTTCCAGCGTTGGCTTGACTCAGTTCCAACTGTTGCAGCCATTCGGGAAGTGAATCCAAGGAGGGAAGGTCTCTCTCTCTAGCTCACATGCTCGCTCTCGCGTTCTCTCTGTAACTCTGCCTTTCAAATAAATCAACCTTTAAAAAAAGAAAAGAATGACTTAGTGGGAACCTGAGTAGACGCGCTGTCTACTCCCCCACCAGGATACAAACCAGCCTGCTTCTTCAAATGCTACTTGGCATCATCACACCCAGAGAACCTTGGAGCGCACAGAGAGTTTTCTGCTGAGGTTGTGGGCCCCTTCCTTAGCTCTAGTGGTCACTTTTTTCTTCCTCCTTCCACTCATCTGTCCTGCCCAGATGCCCTCACCACCCCCCCGCTTCCGTTCAGGAAACACTGAACTCTGGCTGCCCGATACTGGAGTTCCTCTTTCTTGTGAGTTCTCAAGCTTTAAGACCAGAATCTGGAGGTAAAGCAACAATCCATAATAGTCACCAACTCGTTAGAAAGTCAGGGCGTCCAGCCTGCAGCACTCAGAGAAGGCGGCCCAAGTCAGGGCCCCACAGCCCATGTGCTTACCCCAGCAGTGCACCTGTCACCGCACCTGTCACTCACACGCACGCACACGTGCTGACTACACCTGTACACAGAGTGTGTGACAGTGACACACGGTAGAGTCTGGGTGGTTTTAATCTCCATTGTTGAATCATCCTGTGACGGCTTTATCCACTCCTCGTTGCATGGGTCATGAAGAGTGCGCCGTTGTATGCAGAAAGCACCCTGCTCACCCTGTCCTGCTGAGGGGCGTGGAGCTGGGATGCAACCATGATGAGCATCCCTGGACGTCTCAGTGCTCCCTTGGACACTCTTGGGCTGTCTTCCGCCTGGCCCATCTTCCACTGCTTTTCCCAGTCACATCAGCAGGAAGCTGGATGGGAAGTGGAGCAGCCAGGACTCTAACCGGCTCTGTTAAGGGATGCTGACACCACAGGAGGCAGCTTTACCCTCTACGTCACAGCATCACTAACCCCCTTACGCTCCTCCCCATGCATCTTTTTTTTATATAGCAAACTTTTTAAAGATTTATTTTATTTAATTGAACAACGGAGTTACAAAGAGAGAGGTAGGAACAGAGAGAGAGGTCTTCCATCTGCTGGTTAACTACCCAGATGGTTGCAACAGCCGGAACTGCGCCGATCTGAAGCCAGGAACCAAGAGCTTCTTCTGGGTCTCCCACATGGGTACAAGGGCCCAAGGACTTTGTCCATCTTCTACTTCTTTCCCAGGCCATAGCAGAGAGCTCAATCAGAAGTTGAGCAGCCAGGACTAGAACCGGTGCCCATATAAGATGTCAGCGCTTCAGGCCAGGGCTTTGACCTGCTGTGCCACAGCACTGGCCCCTCACCATGAATCTTGAGACCTTTTCACTCTGGCTAATCTAAAGCGTGTGAAAATGTTCTGCTTTCCTGTCGCTTTGTGTGCAGATATCTAACATCTCAACCACTGCCTTGCTGACATCACCTGGCTTCTTTCCCATTTGCACAGGGCTGTTTGCTTGGGGGATGACACAGGGCTACAACAGGCAGCCTTGTACAAACATCTTTTTTTGAGTTAGCAGTGCTTTTTTAAGATGCATTTATTTGAAAATCAGAATGACAACAACAGAGGGAAAGACAGAGAGAATGTCAGCATCTGGGAGAACTGGGCTGTGTTCCTGACTCCCAGGGTTGGATTTACCCAGCTCTAGTCATAGCAGGCATTTAGGGAGTGAGGCGGGAGCGCTCTCTCTCTCGCGCGCGCGCTCTCCCTCTCTCTCTCTCTGCTTCTGAAACAAATTTATTTTTCTTAATGTTTAAAAACTCTTGCACAAAATTTTTATAGTGTTTTGAGTCCCACCAGCTGCATACAAGAAAATACTTTTACCCAAACTTTTGGCAATACCTGATGATATTTTGATATTTTTTTACAGGTATGAAAATCTAAAAAAAAAAACAAACCCTAAGTAAAACCCTGTTGTTTTTGTTTTTGATTTTTATTTGAGAGAGAGAGATCCAATTCACTGGTTCACTCTCCAAAGACTCACAACAGCCAGGAGCCAGGAACTCCATCCAGGTCTCCACAAAGGTGGCAGGAATCCCGCTCTCTGAGCCATCACCCCTGACCCCAGGATCTGCAATAGCAGGAAGCTGAAGTCAGGAGTAGGGCCCAGGCATCAAACCCAACCCAGAACTCTGAGGCCAGTGTCTTAGCTGCTTGGGATGAACATCTTCTCCCTGCCCACTGAGGAGCTAAGCCTCCCTCCATTGCCTCTCAGATGGGCTTTGTTTGCTGTAGATTCCTTTTTATCCATTAGAAGGGGCTTTTTCTCTCTCGGGAGGGGACCCCTTTGTTACAGGTGTAGCATTTATCCTTTGTCTTCTGTTGCTTTTATCACAGGTTCTGTATGTTTGTGCCTCTATGTAAGGCTTTTTGTCTATACCCTTGTGGCTGAAGAAAGCCCACCCCACCGCAAGGGTATTTCTTCTCCTGTATTTATCACTTAAATGTATATTTGAAAGGCAGAGAGACAAAGAGACCAAGAGAAAGATCTCATCTTCTGGCTCACTCCCCCAGTGCCTACACCAGAAGGAAGCAGCTGGAAACTCAGTCCAGGGCTCCCTCATGGGTGCCAGGCACACAACAACTTGAGCCATCACCTGCTGCCTCCCAGGGTCTGCGCCAGCAGGAAGCTGGCATCAGGGGTGGGCTCAGGACCTGAATACAGGCCCTCCTACATGGGACGCAGACATTGCAACCACTAGGGCTGCTGACAACTCCTCCAGGTTTTATACCTAAACCCAAGGAGGCTTCAAATGTTCCCAGAATCGTTTACTGTGAAATAAGAAGTTCCTTCCTTCTCTGTGGGATGGCAGGCACAGGAAGGCAGGCACATGCATGCATCCGGAGCTGAGTACCTGGGCCACCCGTGTCCTGTACAAGTTACTTCACCTTTTTTTTTAATGATTTATTTATTTATCTGAAAGGCAGAGCTACAGAGGGAGAGGGAGGGATGGGGTGCGGGTGGGGGTCTTCCATCTGCTGGTTCTGCTGGCTTGTTCCCAGATGGCCACAATGGCCAGGGCTGGGCCAGGCCAAAGCCAGGAGCCAGGAGCCAGGAGCCAGGAGCTTTTCCCAGGTCTCCCACCTGAGTGGCAGGGGCCCAAGCACTTGGACCATCCCCCTCTGCTTTCCCAGGCCATCAGCAGGGAGCTGGATCAGAAGTGGAGCACCTGGGACACGAACAGGTGCCCATGTGGGATGCCGGCACCACAGGCAGTAGCTTTACCTACTATACCACAATGCCAGCCCCAGGAATTGTTAAATGTCTCCCTTCCTCCCTCCCTCCCTCCCTCTGTTTCCTCCTCTGTAAAAGACAGAAATAATAGTTCCTGCCTCATGGAGCTATTTTTTTAGATAATTAAATAGGTAATAAAAGCGTTCGGGGCACTGTTGATCCAAATGAAAACAACAACGAGAGAGAGACTTTCCAAAGCATAAGGATGTTTATCAGAGACCAACAGAGCATCGCAGTAAGCTGCACGTCATACAGGACCATGGGAGTCTGCAGAAAGAGGGTTGCAAGAGGAAGTGTTTAAAGGCAGAAATGAGGAGGATTGCTTCAGATATTATGAAACAGTCAGGAGGGGAAAACAAAAGAAATAGTTGGGGCCAGCGCTGTGGCGTAGCAGGTGAAGCTGCTGCCTGCAGCGCCAGCATCCCATATGGCTGCTGATTCGAGTCCTGGCTGCTCAATTCAGATCCAGCGCTCTGCTGTGGCCTGGGAAAGCAGTAGAAGATGGACCATGCCCTTGGGCCCCTGCACCTGCGTGGGAGACCCAGAGGAGGCTCCTGGCTCCTGGCTTTGGATTGGCTCAGCTCTGGCTGTTGCAGTCAATTGAGGAGTGAACCAGCAGATGGAAGACCTCTCTCTCTCTCTCTCTCTCTCTCTCTCTCTCTGTGTGTGTGTGTGTGTGTGTGTGTGTGTGTCTCCTGTAATGCATATCAATAAAATATACCTTTAAGAAAAAAGAACTCTTATTCCATGCCCCGCCAACTTTATTTATTATCCTGCTGGGGTTAGGGCTGACAGAAGCAGTTCCATCTCCACTCTGACAACTTTCACATTCTTTTAGCAGCACACACAGCACCTGCTAGCTGTGAGCCAACTTTGCATCCCATCCACATATTTTCCTGGGTCTGCTTCTGGACATAAGGTGTCAGCTTTCCTGCCTCAGAGCCCACCCCCAGCGCTGGGGCACTGTGACTTTCAAATGGATGTTACTATCTTTCCATTTCTCGCTGCTGTGTTACTAGATTCTCAGTTCTCATGAGATGGACTTTGCATCACACACAGCTGTGCTGAGTGATGGCAGGCAGGGCTCTTCAGCTGTTCCATGGGAGACCCGGTGCAGAGGGACTTGGACGAGTTCGTGGAAGATGGAGTTAAAAGATAATTTCATTGGGGTGCAAAAAAAAATTGAAATCCATGCACAGTTTTTTCCATAATGCATATTTTCCATGCACTGTTGAACTCTTGTGTGCATAGAATTCAAAGGTTATCCCATAAAAATGAACTTACCTTTCGATTCTGTGGTACACGCGTGTCTTTGAAGTGCTCCCTCATCTTTCCAAGGTCACAGACCTCACACACAAGACACCTTGCGGGTTATTCTATACTGAAGGCCACTGTAACTTTCGACACTCTGAGTGGCTTTATCTTCCTGGCTTTAAATAAACAGTGCTGGGATAAAAATAAATTACTTGTTTATCATACTAACCTCATATTGGCCCCTCACCAAACCCTTTTATGGCCTGTAAACATTTGTTTTATTTTTAATGTTTTAATTTTTATTTATTTGAAAGGCAGAGTGACAGAGAAACAGAGACAGATAGAGAGAGATTTCTCATCTGCTATTCACTGCCCCCAACAACAAGGCCAAAGTCAGGAGCCAGGAACCCTCTTGGGTCTCCCACATGGATGGCAGGGACCCAAGCATTTGAGCCATCCCAGGGTGTGCATTAGCAGGGAGTTGGGATCAACAGTGGAGCCAGGACTCAAACTCAGTGTTCCCATATGGGACGTGGGCAACACGAGCCTCATCGTCACTGCTGGGCCGAATGCCCACCCCAAACAGTAGGGATAAACGGGTAGATTAAGGAATTTACGCATACATGAGATTCTCTGACTCTCAGCCAATGCATGACAGTGACTGCAACAAGATCCTTCCCAGTCTCACATCCATGTAATATTCTACAAAGAGAACAGAGCCCATACATCTATAGATACAATTCCAAGAATCCATCTCCCTCCCTCACCCCCACCCCTTTTCCCTTTCCTTGCTTTTTTCTTTTAATTTTTGAGGTAACATTATAGTCAAAGACTTAATGCTGCACGAAGTAAAGAGTTCAGCAAGGAAAAATTAAAGAGATCACAGTTCAGAGAAACAGAGACAGGGCTATAAACAATAAACAGATGAAAAGTCCATTTCACTCATAAAGTAACTTTTTTAAGAGATTTATTTATTTATTTGAAAGAGTTACACAGAAAGAGAAGGAGAGGCAGAGAGAAAGAGAAAGAAAGGTCTTCCATCCGCTGATTCACTCCCAAATGGCTGCAATGGCTGGAGCTGTGCCAATCCGAAGCCAGGAGCCAGATGCTTCTTCCGGGTCTGCCACGCAGGTGCAGGGGCCCAAGGACTTGGGCCATCTTCTACTGCTTTCCCAGGCAACAGCAGAGAGCTGGGTCAGAAGTGGAGCAGCTGGGACTCAAACCAGGGCCCATATGGGATGCCGGCACTGCAGGCGGCGGCTTTACCCACCACTCCACAGCGCCAGCCCCCTCATAAAGTACATTTTAAAACAATCACAGAGCATTAAACTACAGTAGTATATTATTTCTAACCATTAGTTTGACAAAGATATAAATCTCAAGGACAGCAGGCTCTGGGTATGTTTCCTGTGTGCCGTGCACGGTGGGGAGCTGTCTAAGCAGCTCTGGGCTGGCAGGGGCCTATGTCTGGGGGAGGGGTCTCACCCCAGGCCCCCACTGCTGCAGTCCTGTTGGGAAAGCATGAGAATGGAGCCTTTTCCCGACCACCACTGCAGAACGTGAACACAATCCAGCGAGGCAGAGCTGTCTGAGAGGCCCCCGGGGCTTCCCACCTGGCTCCCCACCCCATGCACACCTGCACGCCGCTAACCCTCTCCAGTCTCCCAGCAGGCATGGAAAAGGGACACAGGACCAGTGGAGGATGTGTCCGCCTGGTGGTGGACACCACGTGTAGTGGCCTCCCCCAAGCCCGACTGTAACCACGTTTTCTCCTCCTGCCCCTGGCCAGGTGGATGGAGTGGAACCCTGGCTTCCCCCTGAGCATCGATGCCAAATGCCACAGGGATTTACCACGAGACATCCAGTTTGACAGTGAGAAAGGAGTGGACTTTGTTCTCAACTACTCCAAAGCGTAAGTTGGCAAGAACTGAACCACACTGCTCAGCCCCTTCAGCGGCTGAGGCCGGGGCTGGGACCCTCACTCCTTTTCTCTAGGGATGGAGGAGTGGGCTTGGACTTGGGCATAGCCCAGCCATTGCAGCTTTTTCCAAATGCATTTGACTGTGTCTCGGCCGTAGCGTGGACTCACGGGTGCCAGCTTCAGATAATCCGCATCTAAAGAGCCACACCCTGGAGGACTCCAGACACCAGTGTGCTCTCACCCCAAAGTGGGGGTGTTGACTCAGAATATACAGGCCCCTCCCACACCTCACCCGCACTCAGCCACTGGTACCTTGATGAGAATGGAGGAGAATGCTGACCCTTGCAACCACGAGGTGGGGTGGGGGTGGGGGGCATGGATGACCAACACATGGATGGGTAGAGGGAGGGATGGATGGGCGAAGGAGGGAAGGAGGGTTGAGTGAGGGAAGGAGGGATGCATGGATGGATGGATGGATGGATAGAGGAAGAGGGACATCGGGTAATTGCCCAAGACCCCTGCCAACCAGCGGCTGAGACGTCCAGTTCTGTGCCCCTTTGTGTTTGAATCACGGCAGGACTTTGTAAAGCTTGCCGATCATGAGAGTGCCCTGCCACTTGTTGAAAATGAGGGTACCGGGGCCGGTGCTGTGGTGTAGCAGGTAAAGCTGCTGCCTGCAGTGCCGGCATCCCATATGAGGGCCAGTTGGAGTACCGGTTACTCTACTTCTGATCCAGCTCTCTGCTATGGCCTGGGAGAGCAGTAGAAGATGGCCCAAGTCCTTGGGCCCCTGCACCTGCGTGGGAGATCCAGAGGAAGCTCCTGGCTCCTGGCTTCTGACTGGCGCGGCTCCAGGTGTTGGTGGCCATTTGGGGAGTGAATCAGTGGATGGAAGACCTCTCTCTCTCTCTCTCTCTCTCTCTCTCCCTCTGCTTCTGCCTCTCTGTAACTCTGCCTTTCAAATAAATAAATAAATCTTTAAAAAAAAATGAGGGGCCGGCGCCGCGGCTCACTAGGCTAATCCTCCGCCTTGTGGCGCCAGCACACTGGGTTCTAGTCCCGGTCGGGGCGCCAAATTCTGTCCCGGTTGCCCCTCTTCCAGACCAGCTCTCCGCTGTGGCCAGGGAGTGCAGTGGAGGATGGCCCAAGTGCTTGGGCCCTGCACCCCATGGGAGACCAGGAGAAGCACCTGGCTCCTGCCATCGGATCAGCGCGGTGCGCCGGCCGAAGCGCACCAGCCATGGCAGCCATTGGAGGGTGAACCAACGGCAAAGGAAGACCTTTTTCTCTGTCTCTCTCTCTCACTGTCCACTCTGCCTGTCAAAAAAAAAAATGTGGGTCCTCGACTCTACCCCAGGGCTCATCAGGAGTCTTTGAATCCATGTGTTGAAACTTTAGAGAGTTCCTAACTTGTAAGGCAGAAAACCCTACATCCGTGGCTCTAAAGCCTGAGGTGCAGGGGGAACCCCACACCCCTGAGGGCAAGTCTGTAAGGTTGGGACCCTGGCCTTGGATCTGTTGTCCAGCAGGCAGACGGGGTGGGTAACCCCAGCACACACCTACCCAACCCTGCCGCCAGTCCATCTTCTCAGACTCCATAGGGCCCGCCTGGGACGTAAATGTTGTTACTGACCGTTTCTAGGTGACGAAACTGCAGCTCCAGCGGGCTCAGGTCATTTAGGCAGAAATCGGCAGTGCAAGATTTGAATCCAGGTCCCTTTGGGTCCGTGGCTGGGGACTATTTCTCCTGCTACAATTTGGACCAACTGGAGGAAAACGAAAACTAAACATCTGGATTAGTACCAGAGCAGTCCCCAACATAGATAGATAGATGCATGCATACATACAGTACATATACACATACACACACAATACATACATATATATGTGCAATACATACATGCATACATATGCGTATATACATAAAGCACACAGAGGATGGATGGAGACCATATGCAAAGACTTCACCACTGTAAAAGAAGGGGCACGAGCATCCCTGGAGTGTGGCATCCACAGGGTCCTGGAGCAGGGGAGGGGGATTCTGAAGCCTCCGTTTCTTTTTTTTTTTTAAGATTGATTTATTTTATTTGAAAGGCAGTTGCAGAGAGGCAAAGAGAAAGAGATGAGACATCTTCCATCTGCTGATTCACTCCCCAGATGGCTGCACCAGCTGGGTCTGCGGCCAGGCTGCAGCCAGGGGCCTGGAAGTCCATTGTGGTCTCCCATGTGGGTGGCAGGGGCCCAAGCACCTGGTGCATCAACAGGGAGCTGGACCGGAAGTGGAGTCTGCAAACCCGCACTCAGGTGTGGGTTGTCGGTGTCCCGATAGGCAGCTTAGCCGCCTGCACCCCGGCTCCCACCCCTCCAAGCCCGTCAGGCCCACAGGGCAGGTACCCTCAGCTCTCACAAAGGAAAACACTCAGCTTCCTGCAGGCTGCCCAGGCCCTGTGAGATGTGACCGCGTGCTCAGACCTGGCAGCTGCCGCAGGTCCCAGCTCCCGTGGCTTCTGCTTTCTTGCATCCCCTCTCTGACACTGGCCCTGAGCCTGCTCTGGGGCAGGGGGAAGAGCGTGTTGATTCCTGCTGTGAGTGGTTTTCCTTTACCCTGGAGGTTCTGCAGGACCCAAAGCACTTGGGCCATCCTCCACTGCCTTCCCAGGCCATAGCAGAGAGCTGGATCCAAAGGAGAACAGCTGGGACTCAAACCGGCGCTCACATGGGATGCCGACACCACAGGCAGTGGCTCAACCTGCTATGCCACAGTGCCAGCCACAACAGCCCACACTTTGAGTAGCCAGGTTCTACTCTGCTTTCCTGGGAACTGAAAATCTACTCAAAATTCACCTCTAGTTCCCCTCTAAAAATGAAAGGTTGCCTTATTTAGTGCCTGGCCAGACAGGGTCTGGAGCTCATGGGTTCTGTTAACTTTCCTCCCCTGCCCAGGTTCCTTCTTGTAGAAGGAGGCTGAGGATGCCTGCCTTGCAGGATGGCTGTGCAAGAACTCAGGTGCGCCAGGCCCTGTGGTCTGGCATCTCTGAGCTGTGTGACCAGCTGGACTATGTGTCCAGACTCGAGTCCAAGGGAGGAATTTGTGCAAGCAATTCCCTGAGAGGACAGAGGCTGCGGCAGGGCAGGAGCTGCATGTGTAGGGCCCGGTTCTAGGAAAAGATGGGGCCACCCCGGGGAGAAGGCCAGCCCTGAGGCTGCAGCCCCAGAAGTGACCCTGGCGGGGCGGAGAGCAGAGAAGGTGGGGTGTTCATGCCTGCGGCCTCGGAAAGCAAAGCCATCACCCACCCTGGCTCCCAGGAGGAGACCACCTGCTGGCCCTCCTTTTGGGACTAACGTGACTCCAGAGTGATCCCTTGGTCCCAGCACCTTCTGGGGCATGAATGGGCCCAAGCTGGGTGCTGGATGCTGCATAGGAGCTGACCACGCTGGTGGACGGGGCGGAGGGGAAGGTGCTGTGTGCAGTGAGAGCCCTAGCAGGAGAGCCAAGGTGGGAGCTGAGGCCGCCGAGGAAGCCTGGCCTGTGCCTGGGTGGGTGGTATCAGCCTGGGGAGGGGGTTGAGGCAGGCGCGATTGAGCCAGTGTCGGGAAGGGATGGGTGGGTTGTGATGGAGTCCTGAGCTCAGGCCTCAGCATGACTTTGTGGTTCCCCAGGGAACACTAGGGCCAGGGCTGCAGGCGTCAATGCAGAGGGTGACTCCCAGCCCCATCCGTCTTCTGTCCAGACCCTCATCAGCTGCAGGAGGCAACAGGTCCAGCCTTCTCGGGGCTGACCAGGAGTGGAGTGGCTCCCACCCACTCTGCTCTGATGGAGCCCTGAGAACCCACAGACTGGTGCCAGTCCAGTGCCCCCTCGGCTCGTGCTGTGGCAATGCCACTCTGCCCACGCCCCATGGTATAAAACAGGGACTCAGGGCCAAGGTCACCAGCGAGCCCCTCCCCACTGGACAGCTTGGTTTCCGTGCCACTGCTGGGCAACCCTGAGGACAGCTTACTTCCTTCTGGGTGCGTCACCTGCTCTGTCTGGAAGGAGGCCAGCCCTCCACACGCCAGCTTTGCCCCGCACCCACCCAGCAAAACCATGAAAAGGAAAAATCGAGAAGAGGCAGAGGAAGCAGAGGAAGCCAGAGCTCCTGCCTCTCCCAGGATGTGGCCAACAGCTGGTGCCCAGCTCAGGAGAAAGCTGTGGCGTCAGCTGGCCCTGGCCCCTGCCATCCCCTGGCCACGCCATCCCCTGGCTGTGTGACCTTGGACAAGACAGGCGCCCTGTCTGGGCTGCAGGCTCCTGTCCGCTGCAGGAGCTGACCCTGGAAGTCCTGTGTGCATCCTTGACTTTTGACCATGGAGCAATATTCCACCTGCCAAGGACATGGAGATGCTCGCCGCCCCCAACCCCGTTCTTTCTGTGTCTGTGGCTTCCTCTGAGTCTGCCACACTCACCCGGATTTCAGCACCCACCTTCTGTTCCGAGGTCAGAGGGACCCAGCTGGGGCCAGCACCACTTCTCACTCCCTGCTCTCTACCAGCTCCCCCAGGAGGGCAGCAGTGAGATCTCAGGGGTCTAGGAAGACCTCTCCTCTCTGAGAGCTAAGCCCCTTTGCACGCCTGCACTGGCTCACTGGTGAGGAGGGTCACGCCTGAGCCTGGCTGCTCTGGGCCGCCACAGTGCCTGCAAAACAACTCTTGCTGCCCCAGGGGGGCTGGCCACGGGTCGGCAGCTCTCGCCTCTCTGGGTGCTGGCAGGCATGAAAAAAGCAGGCAGCATCCATACTGGAGTTGCACGGAAGCGTTGCACAGGAAGCCAGCACAGACAGATGTCTGCAAGGGGAGGCTTGCTGGGGGAGGGGCCACTTTCAGACATGTGGAGGGGACACTAGACCACTCCCCCACACACACCACACCAAGACACACTCACCCTGTGCATCAGGCAGGGAATGGCTTTGTCTGCTGGGGCCATTGTCCAGTGGCTACTCAAACCCAGGAGTTCATCCCTCGGCGTCTGGAGGCTGCAAGGCCAAGGTCAAGCTGTCAGCTGAGAGTTCAAGGTCATGTTCTTGCTGTGTCTTTACAGCGTTGCTATCAGGCTGTCCCGTGTCGTGTACTATCAGCACCAGGCCAAGAGTCCCAGTTAGAACATCAGCGAGGGTTGTGCTCAACTAAGCTGCTCACCTCCCACATCCAGGAGGCTCGGCAGAGCAGCTGCACAGGGCTGTCCCCGGAAGCCGGGTTGGTAGCTAAAAGCCAAGGCCTGACCAGCGAATGAACCAACCCAGGTGGAGTTCAAGGCTCTGAGCTTGACCTTGAACTTGAAGCTTCTGGCCGCTTCTATAGGGGAGATACAGTAGAAGCAGTGGGTCTTCCAGGTGCCGGTGTCTGTCCTGGTTGCCAGAGATCCCCCACCTGCCCCACCCCAGCCCAGGTTGGGGTGAGGGTGGGGGGTGCTGCCCAGAGGGTCTCATGGTGTGAAGGGGCTCTGAGCAGGCAGGAGCCCTGGCCCCACACCCATCATGCCCATCTCCGGGCCCTCAGGATGGAGAACCTGTTCATCAACCGATTCATGCACATGTTCCAGTCCTCCTGGAGTGACTTCGCCGACTTCGAGAAAATCTTCGTCAGGATCAGCAACACTATTTCTGGTGAGTGTGTCTCTGGGATCCAAGCTGCCATCTTCCCGCCCCCAAACAGCCGCAGTGGCTGGAGTTGGACCAACCGAAAACATGGAGCCAGGAGCTTCTTCCGGTTCTCCCATGCAGGTTTAGGGGCCCAAGGACTTGGGCCATCTTCCGCTGCTTTCCCAGGTGCATTAGCAGGGAGCTGGATCGGAAGTGGAGCACTCGGCACAGACTTGGCACCGTGGGGAAGGCTCAGGAGGGCTGCGGCCCTGCTGCCCTGTGCTCAGAGCTGCCTGGGCCCCTCTTGCCTTCCTGCAGAGCGGGTCATGAACCACTGGCAGGAAGACCTCATGTTTGGCTACCAGTTCCTGAACGGCTGCAACCCGGTGATGATCCGGCGCTGCACAGAGCTGCCCCAGAAGCTGCCGGTGACCACGGAGATGGTGGAGTGCAGCCTAGAGCGGCAGCTCACTCTAGAGCAGGAGGTCCAGGTGGGACCCGTCTCGGGGGCGGGGGCCCCCTTTATGCCTGTCAGTGTTCACAGCCCCAGGCTGCTGTCCGCAGGCCCATGCACACTGGAGGCCTCTTCCTTTCCCTGAGGACAGCAGAGACCTGGGTGCTGGGCCTCACACAACTGCCCCGAGGGACATGGGTCTCCACGCTGCCCACACCTGGGGCAGGGGGCTTGCATCATCCCTGTTGATATGGGGAGAGAGGTCTTCTATCTGCTGGTTCACTCCCCAAATGGCCCCAAATGCCGGAGCTTAGCCGATCCGAAGCCAGGAGCCAGGAGCTTCCTCCGGGTCTCCCACATGGGTAGCAGAGGTCCAAGGACGTGGGCCATCTTCTGCTGCTTTCCCAGGCCATAGCAGAGAGCTGGATGGGAAGAGGAGCAGCCGGGACACAAACTGGCTCTCATATGAGATGCAGGCGCCCCAGGTGGATGCTTAGCCCACTACACCACAGCACCAGCCCCAGAATTTCTGACCTTCTAATTAGAAATGTGGGTGCATCTGCTCTTCCCCCTCCCCGCCCCCACAGCCTCACCTGCAGGCTCAGCCCCTCCTGTTCCAAGGCTGAGCCAGTTTTGAGAAAGAGAAGCATTAAGCAGACGCTGCACCTGGTGGGACTCAGGGTCAGGTGCCTTCCACGCAGGGTCCCAGCAACAGTCCAGGGGCTCCTGCCAGTCTGCCCCCAGCCCCCCGGGCCTGACTGCCTATCCCCCATGTGTCCCTGTAGGATAGAGTCCTACAGAGGCTACAGGTGTCCCTGTAGCTTCTGGTCACCCCATCTTTCCTGCTCTGCTCTCCGCAGCCCCAAATCCCTGCCCACCCGGCTCTGGAGGGATGCACACACACACAACGCACATGCACAACACACACATGTGCGTGCACACACCCACACAGCTATAATCTCCAAGTAGGGCGCTTCAGCAGTTCTCGTGAGGGCCAGGCAGGTGTCAGAATCAGCCGCTGACCACAACAGCCTATGGTTGCACCTGGTGTCAATCAAACCCCCACAGCCTGTGGCCACGCCCCAATCAGCCTTGGAGTCAGAGGCAGAGAGAAACCTAAACGCAGGAATCCACTGAGTGTCAGGGAAGGATGGGACCCCCTCCCCACAGCCCGCCACTCTGCCCCCTCTCCGCCCCTGAGTCTGCCTGCTGGGTCCCTCTATCTGCCGACACCAATGGGGACGCCTCCCCCACGCACCCCCCCCACCCCGCAGCAAGGGAACATCTTCATTGTGGACTTCGAGCTGCTGGATGGCATCGACCCCAACAAGACAGACCCCTGCACACACCAGTTCCTGGCGGCGCCCGTCTGCCTGCTGTATAAGAACCGCGCCAACAAGATCGTCCCCATCGCCATCCAGGTAGGCCCCCCCCACGCTGGGTCCTCAGCTGCCCGGGATCTGGGGTGCAAATCCTGGGTCGCACCATCTGTGCCCCAGGAGGGGTGGGGGTGGGGGAAGCACCTCTGAGGAGGGCTGCGCTGTCCAAGAGGAGCTCCTGGCTGGGAAGGGGGCACTGGGGGACTGCCTTGCCCTCCAATCCTGGATCTTGAACAGGGCCCCCAAATCAAGGCACTGACGGGCCAGCCAGGTGAGGCTGAGAATTCAGTTGGGGACCAAGGCCATCCAGGGGACACCGTGGACCCTGACATCAGGAACTGGACCAGACCTGGGACACCACCCATGAGTTTCTATGTCCACCAGGGACAGGGGAGGCAGGAGAGGGCAGCCTGGGGGAGAGGCAAGTGGGCAGCAGCGTCCCCCAATCTGGGCACCAGCCCATTGCCAAGCTGTGGAGGCTGGCGTGCAGGGCGCAGGACAGGACCAGGTGTAGGTCCCTGAGGCTAGAGGGAGCAGACACTTGGTGTGATGGTCACGGCAGCCAGGTTTGTTGGGCACTGTCCACGGGCCAAGTCTAGGAGTCACCCCGCACGGTCTACAACCACCTACCTGAACTCTGAAACCTAAACGGTTTCTGGCCCGGAGGGCATGGTTGGTGCAGAGGCTTCTTCACCACGTGGGACTCATGCATCCCATATCAGAGTGCCTTGGGTTCGAGTCTCAGCTCTGCTTCCAATTCCAGCTTCCTGCTAGTGTGCACCCTTGGGGGAGGGGGAGCAGGTGAGGGCTCCAGTACTTGGGTCCCTGCACCTATGTAAAATGCTACTCTCACTGCTGAGTGATATTCTGATCCGGCCTGGGGGCGGGGTGGGGGCGGGTAAGTATGTCCTCTGATGAATCACCACACTCCTAACATCTTACAGATCCTGAATTCTGTGCACATCCAGTCACTGGGGGGTCAGGCATGGCCCCATCTCTATTCTTGTGATCTTCACCATGACTCCCCAAGTGGGGGCTGTCAACCATCACAAGGGTCCCCACGCACAGCAAAGACCCCTGGAGCAGCCTGGCTGCAGGGATCGGTTAAACCCCAGCTCTGCGGCCCCCAGCAGCAGGAGCCTGAGCTCCCTCCTCCCTTGCAGAGGGAAAGTTTGCAAACTGTGAAGATTCCTGCCAGGGGGAGGCAGAGGAAATAAAGCCCCAAGTGTGGTTCTTAAATTAAGGACCTCCTGCTGAGGCTGAAGTGGGGGGGGGGGCCCCTCAGGGAAGAAAAACAGGCCAAAATCCACAGGAGGTCCCAGCTGGCACTGTGGTGTTCTGATTGGCCATTGCAAAGGGGCATGCTGTCCACACTGGGCTCCCAGCATGCGATTTCCTGGGCTCCTGCTGTGCGGTGCTCACCTTGGTGCTGTCCATAGGGGAACCCCAGCCAAGGCCATTCTGCAGGGCGCAGCTGGGATGTGCCAGGTTGAGCAGTCCACAGGGACTTGCAACAGAGGAGGGGCTCATCTGGACATAGCACCACCATAAATCCAGCGACAAGATTTAGGAATATGAGGGGAGGCGTTAAAAAGAGTAATTATGGTGATGACTTTTAAAATGAGAGTATAATTATGGGGCAACATAATCTGGGGGAAAGAAAGCTAGATTGCATGGATTAAAAACCTAGGAACATATAAATTAGGAGAAACTGGAGAGGAAATAGGTCAGTTACCATATAGGTGATTAGAAAGCTAATTAAATGCCCAGACATTTAATGATAATAATAAGCTAATTTAATGTCTTCAGAAAGATAAAGACCAAGTTGCAGATAATATTTTAAAAGAAACCTAAAAAATAAGTAAAATAAATTCAACAGTATCATAAGTGACTAATAAGGTATTACCAAGTAGGATTCTTTTTTAAAAAAAACTTATTTATTTACTGATTGATTATTTATTTATTTATTTATTTGATAGAGCTACACAGAGAGGCAGAGAGAGAGAGAGAGAGAGAGAGAGAGAGGTCTTCCATCGCTGGTTCACTCCCCAAATGGCTGCCAACAGCCGGAGCTGTGCTGATCCGAAGCCAGGAGCCAGGAGCTTCTTCCAGATATCCCACGAGGATGCAGGGGCCCAAGGACTTGGGCCATCGGGCCATCTTCTACTGCCTTCCCAGCCACAGCAGAGAGCTGGAATGGAAGTAGAGAAGCCCAGACAGGAACCAGCGCCCATATGGGATGTCAGCACTGCAGGCGGCAACTTTACCTGCTACACCACAGAGCCAGTCCCACCATGTAGGTTATCCAAGAGATTTCATTATCAAAAGAGCCACCAGCAAAATTCATTGTGCCAATAAGAAGAAAGCTTATACCAATTAACAAAGGGGATTTTAATAACATTAAGTGGCCGGCGCCGCAGCTCACTAGGCTAATCCTCCGCCTTGCGGCGCCGGCACACCGGGTTCTAGTCCCGGTCGGGGCGCCGGATTCTGTCCCGGTTGCCCCTCTTCCAGGCCAGCTCTCTGCTGTGGCCAGGGAGTGCAGTGGAGGATGGCCCAAGTGCTTGGGCCCTGCACCCCATGGGAGACCAGGAGGAGCACCTGGCTCCTGCCATCGGATCAGCGTGGTGCGCCGGCTGCAGCGCGCCAGCCGCGGTGGCCATTGGAGGGTGAACCAACGGCAAAAGGAAGACCTTTCTCTCTGTCTCTCTCTCTCACTGTCCACTCTGCCTATCAAAAAAAAAAATAATAATAACATTTAGTAGCCACAACTAATGAAGATTTGAATAGTAGCAGAAGGAACTTGGTATGATAAAGACGCCAATCACCCTGTTGGTGCAAGTTAAAGCCGTTTCCCTCCCAATCCTAAGCAGGAACCCTGCATCCCAGTAGTGATTGTTCAGCCTTGCCTGCTGGTCCTGCCACAAGGAACCAATCAACAGAACAGTTGATCTTCGCTGGCAGGAATAAGCTATGGACCCAGAAAACACGAGAGGCCTTGCAGCCAGCCAGTCCACTGGCTTTGAGGAGGTTGGAGAAGGCCTGTGTTTAATTGCAAAGTGCAGAGAAGGTTCCGGAATCCTCAAGGGGTTTGGGGTAAGGAACACTGTACAGAGTAAAGTTGGAGCTGAGAGGTGCGTACTCAGCTGGTGTGCAGGCCCCTCATTGGTCCACAGTGCTGGTGACCCTCCTCTGATTGGTCAGCCAGTGCCTCAGGCTACCACGCCACATCCTGGGACACCCCAGTAGTTTTAAGAGCTACTAATTAATAAGTTCAGTTAGCACCGTTTCCAGATAAGTGTAACCCTCAAAACATCCAGTAATCTTTTTCCATGCTAACAAAATCCATATAAGGAAAAGGATAAGAAATATTAAAGCACATAACAAAAGAATCTTAACAGTTATTTAACATTCAATGAAAACTCTTTATAAAACTGTCAGTTCTAACAAATTTTATTATACAAACTTCATGCACTTCCAGCTAAAATCCCATGCTGGTGTTTTCTCTTTTGTGGGGAGGAGCAATTAAAAAAGTGAGAAAACCGAAATAAAGAAGTTCAAGATTGATATGGGCAAAGATATTTTCAAGGATGTTTTACAAAAAGAAAAACACTGGATATCTTGGAAAGCAGTGCGGTCAGCGTTCCCAGCAGGTGCTGCCAGTGAGAGCCGGCAGACTGGGGAACACGATGCTGAGCCCAGAAATTGATGTCCCTCTTACACACACACACACACACACACACGCACGCACCCACACACATGCACACACATGGAGGAACTGCAGCTGTGACCATGGTGGCTTCTGTACACTGTGGAAGAGGCATGGCGTTTCCATGGGGTCCCCACACTGTGTTAGTGGGCTCCTCTGTCATACCATGAACACAAATAAATTTCAGATTGAACTGAAAACAGAAAACTGTGTAGCACAATGTCCAGTGTGGAGACCACGACTTTTAAAAGCAAGAGAAACAGGAAACCAAAAGGAAAAGACAGGGATATTTGATTATGGAATGTCTTCACATTTGAACGGTAACATACACCAGAAACAAAACCAGAAGGCAAATAGAGATTGGGGGGAAATAACTGGAGCACCAGGAATGTGCTAATATACAAATAGGGCCTAACAACTGATAAGGAAAAAGACAAATGTATACAAATGTGAATACGCAGTTCACAGGAGGAAATGCAAAGGGGCAGTCTACACGTGGGAAATTTCTCCACTGCACCGGTCAGCAAGGGAAATGCAGATTCAACAATGCAGTACGGATTCTGACCCAGCGGGGTGCAGGGGTGGGCAGTGGCGGCCACTGGGGTCAGGTTCACAGTGTGACCCCTGGACAGTCCCGAGTTAGCACCTGAGCAGGCCCCACGGCACCTGCTGTTCTAGGTTGGGGCTGGCATGGGTTGGGGAGCAGGTGTGCTAAAGAAAGAAGAGGCACAGGTTCCCTACAACAGCATCCAGTTCACACAGGCAGCTATGCAAAGACCCGGGACAGGGGAGCTTACCTTACCGTCCACTGTTCACAATTGGATGTGGCTTTAGTACAATAATTACTACTGATCAGAAACAGAAGCCTAGCACCAGGGATGGGGGGCACTGGGGATGTGGGACCCTGTGTGCTGGGCCTGTTGCCCCCAGCCCTGTGAGCGCACAAACAGGAAAGCTGGGCAAGTCCAATTCTGCTTCCCCCGGCCTCCCAGACCCGGGCTGGTGCTGGCAGGGGGAGCCACAGGCCACACGTAGCTGCACAGCATGTACGACTTAGCTAGTCCATACCAGGCACTATTGGAATGAGAAAAAAAGAAAAAAAAAAACCTGCAAAGAATCGCATTCGTTATTTTAGATTGGTTTCATGTTGACGTGGTACTCTTCTGTCTTGGGTGAAATGCAGTTGTGTGACTAGCCATAAATTCCACCTGTCTCCTTTTACTTCTGCCAATGTGGCTTTTCTGAAAATTTAAAATCCCCTGGGCAGCTTGCTTTATGCAGTGGGCCCTCAGCATCCATGGGGAGTGGCTCCAGGACCTCGTGGGTGATAGAATATTTACATGTTTATAAAACACACAGGATTTGCCCGTAACCTTATGCACATGGTCCTGTTCAGAACATTCCAGGTGACCTCCAACAGGGAGTGTGGCAGGAATGCTATTAAGTAGTTGGATGTATGATATTGGCTAGGAACAAAGGGCATACATTTTCTTTTTTTTAAGATTGATTTATTTTATTTGAAAGACAGAGTTGCAGACAAGCAGAGAGAGAGAGAGGTCTTCCATCCGCTGGTTCACTCCCCAGATGGCCACAACAGCTGGAGATGCGCTGATCCAAAGCCAGGAGCCAGGAGCTTCCTCCAGGTCCCCCATGCAGGTGCAGGTGCCCAAGGACTTGGGCCATCTTCTACTGCTTTCCCAGGCCACAGCGGAGTGTAATATCAGAAGTGGAGATCCTGGGACTAGAACTGGCGCCCATATGGGTTGCCGGCACTGCAGGCAGTGGCTTTACCCACTAGGCCACAGCGCTGGCCCCAGTGCATATGTGTTCTATGCAGGTACCATACCACCCAGTAGGCTGACTGTATTTTTGAGGGAGAGCCACGAGGAAAGCACCTTCCACCATGCTTGGCAGGACATGGCTAAGCGTCTGGGCTGCTGTCTCCATGCCAGCCCCTCAGGCCCTCTCTGTCCTCATTCAAAGAAGGGCTCCCATGCACACGTGGGGAGTTCAGAAAGTTCATGGAGAATGTGTAGCATGAAAAAAAACTATGCATGGATTGCAAACTTGGTTTGCACCACAATAAATCTGTCTAATTCCATTTTCCCACAAACTGTTTGCAGTACCTTTGTACATACTAAACATATTTTAAAAGCTTTCAATGAATAAATGATGGCCCGAGGCCGGCGCTGGGTGCACCGGTTAACGCCCTGGCCTGAAGCACCAGCATCCCTTGCTGGACCCAGCTGATCCATTTCCAATCCAGCTCTCTGCTATAGCCTGGGAAAGAAGAAGATGGCCTAAGACCTTGGGCCCCTGCACCTGCGTGGGAGACCCAGAAGGAGCTCCTGTCTCCGGCTTCAGAGTGGCACAGCTACTGCCATTGGGGCCAACTGGGGAGTGAACCATCGGATAGAAGACCTCTCTCTCTCTCTCTCTCTCTCTCTCTCTCTGCCTCTCCTCTCTCTGTGTAACTCTGAATTTCAAATAAATCAATCAATCTTTTTTTTTAATAAGCAGAGTTAGACAAGGAGAGAGACAGAGAGAAAGGTCTTCCCTCCATTGGTTCACCCCCCAAATGGCCGCCAAAGCCAGCGTGCTGAGTTGATCCGAAGCCAAGAGCCAGGTGCCTCCTCCTGGTCTCCATTGCAGGTGCAGCACCCAAGCACTTGGGCCATCCTCCACTGCCCTCCCAGGCCACAGCAGAGTGCCAGACTGCAAGAGGAGCAACCGGGACAGATTCCGGCACCCCGACAGGGACTAGAACCCAGGGTGCCGGCGCCACAGGCAGAGGATTAGCCTAGTGAGCCATGGCACTGGCCAAATAAATAAATCTTAAAAAAAAAAAATGGCCCGTGCCAGCACCTGCCTCACCCCATGAGACCCCATGGTGAGGTGCCAGGTGCGGAAGCCTTGCTGGTACCTGGTGAGAGGGATGAGAGGGGCCCAAGCAAAGCCAGGAGCAAGAGCTTCCTGGGCAGCTATAGAAGAGTCAATGCCGCATCACCAGGGCATCGTGGGGACTTTATTTTCTGGCTCCTAACAGGAGCACAGCAAGACATCCCTGGCAAGTTAGAAAACAGCTCCCCCGGAGTTGACCCTGGAGAGGGACAGGCAGGTCCCCTCTCTCCTACTAGAGGCAGAGCTCAGGCTGCAGACTGGGAACTGGGGATGTTCCCTGAAGTCCCAGGAACCCAATTCAGGGCAAAACCCTGGGGAACAGGAGCATTCCAGGGAAGAGGAGGAGGAGGAGCAGAGGCCTTGGAGCAGTGGGAGGAGAGCTGGAGGCCAGGGCAGCTGGGGCAGAGAATCAGAGAATCCACGCTCATCTAATGGTTCTAAAGACACAGCTGCAGACATCTAGACTCTTCTGGAATTTTCCGAGAGGCCAGGTTCTCCAGCAGCTACAAGGGTACTTCAAAAAGCGTATGGAAAATTGAAAGCACAAGTCCGTGACTTTTGATGCAGGCATTCTGAAGCCCAAGAGGTGATTTTGTTGCTTTTGCATAATACTCATTTTCCATGAACTTTTTGAGGGTTGCTCTAATGCATGGATTGCAAAATTGCTCTGCACCAAGACAAACAGCTTCTGATTTCCTTTTCTAGGAAGCCTTTTGACTTCACATAGCAATATGTTTTCTTTCTCCAACGAATCAGCTCAACCAAACCCCAGGAGAAGAGAACCCCATTTTTCTCCCTTCCGATGCCAAGTATGACTGGCTTCTGGCCAAGATCTGGGTGCGTTCCAGTGACTTCCATGTCCACCAGACCATCACGCACCTTCTGCGCACACACCTGGTGTCTGAGGTTTTTGGCATCGCCATGTACCGCCAGCTGCCCGCCGTGCACCCCATCTTCAAGGTACAGCCCCTTCACCTGGAGGGAGAGGGCCCTGTTGGGGGGGGGTGTGACACGCCCACCTGTTTTTTATCATGTCATTATCAAGGCTATTGTTAACCATCAAAGCTGTGACCCCAAGCAAGAAGGAACACCCCTACCTGCCCTTCCTCCCTGTGCCAGCATCAGCTCCGCATGGGAGCCCTGGGGTGGGGAAGCTGAGCACCCCAGGGTTTCCGTGGTTTGTGGACCCTGGCCCAGCCCTCTCTCCGGTCTTCTCCTCCCCCACCCAGCTACTGGTGGCACATGTGCGGTTCACCATCGCCATCAACACCAAGGCCCGGGAGCAGCTCATCTGCGAGTATGGCCTCTTTGACAAGGTGGGTGGCCTCCCAGCCCCACTGGTGCCTGCAAGAGCCCCCCCACCTCACCTGCTCCCTGCGGCCCATTGGCCCTGCCACGCACAAGGAACCTCTCTGCAGTGCTGCCCAGCACCAGGTGCACAACCTCCTGTGGTCCTGCCCTTCCTCGCTCTCCCTGCTCCGCCCACCTGGTGTTGTCTCTCTCTCTCTCTCTCTCTCTCTCTCTCTCTCTCACACACACACACACACACACACACACACACACACGGGAGCCCTTGGCCTGCCTTCTGCCTTTCTCACCACCCAAGCCAGAGGCTCGCTGGTGGGTTATAAATGACAAGCCTAGCACCATGTGGCTGCATAGGTTGTCAATTAGACCATGGTCGGGGGTGGGGGAAGACACAGAGCCCACCCAAGGACTCAAAGGGGGCCCTGGAGTAGTGCAGGCTGCCTGGCCCTTCTCCCTGGTCTGTGCCAGCCTCTTCCTCCTCCCTGCTGCAGGTGGGCCTCCTGCCACAGGAGGGAGCCCTTGTCTTGTGACTTGCCTACTTGTGCACGCACGTGTGTGTGTGTGTGTGTGTGTGTGTGAGCGCGCGTATGGGAGCCACGTGGGAGTGTGTACACACATGCCTGCGAGTATGTCTGTGTCATGCGCCTGGGGTGAGGCCAGGATCCCCGCCCCCAGCCCTCGGCTAAGCACAACGTGTTTCTGGGCGCTGGGGAGTGGTCTCTACCCCTCTGGGGCTGGGTCAGCCCCCTCACTTACCCGCCCCTCCCACCCAGGCCAACGCCACGGGCGGCGGCGGGCACGTGCAGATGGTGCAGAAAGCCATGCAGGACCTCACCTACGCCTCGCTCTGCTTCCCCGAGGCCATCAAGGCCCGGGGCATGGACAGCACCCAGGACATCCCCTACTACTTCTACCGCGACGACGGGCTGCTGGTGTGGGAGGCCATCCGGACGTGAGTGCCCGCTGGCGCTGGGGCTGGCAGAGGGGGCGAGGGGCAGGGGACGCGAGGAGGAGCCCCCTTGCCCGCTCCCTCCGGCGACCCCTCCCCGCGCAGGTTCGTGGCCGAGGTGGTGGGCATCTACTATGAGGACGACCAGGTGGTGGAGGAAGACCAGGAGCTGCAGGACTTCGTGCGGGACGTCTACATGTACGGCATGCGGGGCAGGAAGGCCTCAGGTAGGGCCGCGGGGGCCCGCGGGTGGGCGCGGGGGCGCGGGGCCCGGTCCTCGCTCAGCCAGCGCGCCGCTCCGCCCCAGGCTTCCCCAAGTCCATCAAGAGCCGCGAGAAGCTGTCCGAGTACCTGACCGTGGTGATCTTCACGGCCTCCGCCCAGCACGCGGCCGTGAACTTCGGCCAGGTAGGCCCCCGCGCCGCGCCGACCCGCCCGCGACCTGCTCCCGGATCCCCCAGCCCGCCAACCCCTGGCCCCTGTGGTCCCAGGAGAATCAGGGAAGCCTGGAGGTGGAGAGACCAAGGTGCCCGGGGAGGAGGAGCTGGGGAAGGGCGGGGCCTTTGGGGGAGAGCTGGGAGGGGGAGGGCCCGGGGAGGAGGAGCTGAGAGAGCAGGCGGGGCCTTTGGGGAGGCACCCAAGAGGCGGGGCCCAGAGAGGAGGGTCTGGGGAAGGGCGGGGCCTTTGGGGAGGAGCCTGAGGGGCGGGGCCGAGGAGGGAGCAGAGGGGCTGCCCGGGGAAGGAGGGTCTGCTGCTCTGGTGGAGGTGCCCGAGCGGCCAGGCCTCCGCCCGCCCACGCGTTTGGGGGCGGTCCCCGCAGTATGACTGGTGCTCCTGGATCCCCAATGCGCCTCCGACCATGCGGGCGCCGCCGCCCACGGTCAAGGGCCTGGTGACCATCGAGCAGATCGTGGAGACGCTGCCGGACCGCGGCCGCTCCTGCTGGCATCTGGGCGCCGTGTGGGCGCTGAGCCAGTTCCAGGAAAACGAGGTGAGGCCGCGCGCGCCGGCCTAGGATGGCATTGAAAGGCAGGGTTGGGACGGGGAGGACAGACAGACAGACGCCCCGCCCCCGCGGGAGGGCTGCACCTGCGGGTCCAACCCCCCAGCCCCAGGGAGCACAGGCTCCCAGCGCCCTCCCCTGCGCACGCGCCTGTGCCCTCCCCTGTGTTCTCCCCTGCGCGCTCACCTGCGCGCCCGCCTGTCCGTGCCCCGCCCCCAGCTGTTCCTGGGCATGTACCCCGAGGAGCACTTCATCGCGAAGCCCGTGAAGGAGGCCATGGCCCGCTTCCGCAAGGCCCTGGAGGCCATTGTCAGCGTGATCGCCGAGCGCAACAAGCACAAGAAGCTGCCCTACTACTACCTGTCGCCGGACCGCATCCCCAACAGCGTGGCCATCTGACCCCGCCGCCAGGGGTGTGAGTGCGCGGCCGTCCTGCACGGAGCAGGCCCGCTCCCACACCCGGGCAGCGGCTGGGCCGGCTGGCTGACAGCCACAGTCATGCCTAGTCCGACTCCTTGTATGCAGTAGGTGCCCAGGAAAATTCCTGTCGAATGGATTCTTTGTTGGTTACCAGAACTAGAGGAAGTCATTTAAAACCCACGTGCTGGGTGGCCGGTGCTGTGGTGTAGCGGGTAAAGCCCCCGCCTGCAGTGCCGGCATCCCATATGGGCGCTGGTTCGAGACCCGGCTGCTCCACTTCCGATCCAGCTCTCTGCTGTGGCCTGGGAAAGCAGTAGAGGAAGGCCCAAGTGCTTGGGACCCTGCACCTACGTGGGAGACCTGGAAGAGGCTCCTGGCTGTGGATCATTGCAGCCTCAGCTGAAGATGGAAGACCTCTCTCTGCCTCTGCCTCTCTGTAACTCTGCCTTTCAAATGAACAAATAAATCTTAAAAAAAAAAAAAAGCCATAATCCCACGTGCTGTACCCAGCCACCCGAAACAGCTGAGAAAAAGCCAGAATCAATGGGCTCCCCCCACCCCAGGACACAGGCGCCTTTCCCACACATCTGTCCAGAGCACACCTCAAATGCCACTGCCTCTGGGAAGGCCTCCTTGGCTGTCTGCCTGGGGTTTCCCGGAGCCGCTGCCTGTTGCTGTCCCAGTGGCCTCTCCCTGGGGAGGGGACGCCCTCGCTGAAGCAGAGAACCCACCTTCTTAGTGTCTGGGCCAGGGCCCGCCTAGGGTCCATCTCAGCTGCTCCTGGCAGGGACAGATTATCAGGCGCTGCTGGGAGCCACGACCCCACAGCCCCGGTGTCAGAATCGCATCACCGAGGGGTCCCGGCAGGTGCTCCTGAGTGGGTGGGCTAGCAGGGTCAGGGAAGGGCTTCCACCGAGGTCAGCAGGGCACGGGAGGCCGTGCGCAGGTGCTCCTGGGCCCCTGGGAAGCTTCCTGCTGGAGCAGGTGCTGCAGAGGGCAAGGCGCAGCCCCAGTGTGGCTCCCAGACGTGGTCACCGCTGTGGGTGACCCTCAGCACTGAGCCACTAACACACAGCCACCACGGAGCCCCCTGCCAGGCCGTGTGGTCGGGGAGGCAGGAGCAGGACCCTGGTGCAGGGAGAGAGAAGCGAGTAGTGGATGCGGAGGGCTTCACACCACATGGTCCCTCTGGGAGTCTCACTACAGCCAGCAGGGCATCCTCAGATGGAAGTCACCCAGCACAGCGCCCTCTGTCGGGCAGGAGTGACGCAGCTGGCTGGAGCCCACGTGTGACAGCTGAGGCCCCAGACTGGGTGATGTACAGAGAAGAAATGGACTTACCGAAGGTCTGCAGGCTGGAGGTCCATCCAGGTCCTGTCAGCCGAGGGCTCTGTCTCTGCCTCGGAGCCAGAGCCTTGTGCGCTGTCTACGCAGCGTGGAGGGACAGGAACGGGTGGACACGATCTGCAGCCCTTTCTGCAAGGCTGTTAACCCATTCTTCGGGACAGAATACTGAGGAGTTCCCGCCTCCCAAAGGCCTCAGCTCCCAGCAGTGTCCACCTGCGGCTTAGGCTCCCCTGCAGGGTTTTAGGAGGAGCGCTTGTGTCCAAGCAATAGCATAACCAGGGTCTTGTTTTCAAACAATGGTTTTCAGCTGAAGCTTAACCAAGTTAATTTTTTGCTTTGAGGGGAAAAAAATCAACACATCAACTGAATCCGGAATAAAAAAAAAAAAGCACCCATTGCTGGGACACAGTCCCAAGTGATTCGATATACTAACATTCTGAGGGTGGAGTGGCCCATTCTCTAGAGAAACAGCAGAGAGAGGTCACAAGATGGCCCCAATATTGTTAGTAGCAGGTCATTATTTTAACACGGTTTTTTAAACTGTGCTTGTGGAGTTCAAGAAATATGTTCCTTAAAGAGGAGGAGAGCTCAGCATAGAAACAGGCACTGGCAGAAAAAGGAGCTGCAAATAAAAATCCCGGGACTGAAAACTGTCGGAAAAATATTCATAATGGAATAGGCCTGATGACAGAGCCCAGTGAGGGTGAACTTGAAGACTGGTGACAGAAATGAATCAACTTAAAGAAATTAAGATGGATTTATTTGACAGGCAGAGCGACAGAGAGAGGAGAGGGAGAGAGAGATCGTCCACCCACTGGTTCACTCCCCAAATGACCACAGCGGCTAGAGCTGAGCCAAGCCAAGCCAGGAGCCAGGAGCTCCATTTGGGTCTCTCAGGTGAGTGGCAGGGGTGTGAGCACCTGGGCCGTCTTGCTCTGCCTTCCCAGGCGCATCAGCAGGGAGCCGGATCGGAAGCAGAGCATCTGGGTCTTGAATTGGCACTCCAATATGGGATGCCAGCATTGGAAAAAACAAAACGTTCTCATGAACTGGGTTTCACAGGCCTCGGAGACAAGGTTAAACATTTTTGTATCACATCACTGGAATCTCAGGAGAGGAAAGACGAGAACAGAAAGGCTGAGTCCTCCCAAGTATGGCAAAAGGCACCAACTTAAAGCATCCAGAAACAGCCAGACCCAAGCAGAACCAGCACCCCTGTGAGTCCCGGTGCTCCCAACCAGAGTTAAAGGGAAAAGCTCTGGCTGGCGCCATGGCTCACTAGGCTAATCCTCCGCCTTGCGGCGCCGGCACACCGGGTTCTAGTCCCGGTAGGGGAGTCGGATTCTGTCCCGGTTGCCCCTCTTACAGGCCAGCCCCTGCTATGGCCGGGGAGTGCGGTGGAGGATGGCCCAGGTGCTTGGGCCCTGCACCCCATGGAAGACCAGGAGAAGCACCTGGCTCCTGCCATTGGATCAGCGCAGCGCGCCAGCCGTGGCGGCCAAAACCTCAGGCAAAAAATAACACTGGGAGAACCCATCGTCAGCAGCTCCTGGCCACAAAGCAACGCGAGGGGGAAACTGTTCGGGCTGCAGCGCCCCAGAAACGGCCTCTTTAAAATCTGGGAGACCATTCGAAGCCAACAGTGCACCACAGGGCGTTTTGCATTCTACTCTAACAAAATTAGATCTTGGTGGTGGTTGGGGGGGTTGTATAGCGGGCCAAGCAGTGCCAGCATCACGGCGCTGGTTAGAGCCTCAGCTGCTCCGCTTCTGACTCAACTTCTTTTAATGCACCTGGGAAAGCAGCAGAGGATGACTCAAGTGCCTGGGTCCCTGACGCCCACGTGGGAGACCCGGATGGAGTTCTGGGCTCCTGGCTTCAGCCTGGCCACCCTGGGCTACAGCAGCCATTTGGGGGCTGGACCCATGGATAGAAGATTCTCTCTCTCTCTCTCTCTCTCTCTCTCTCTCTTTATCCCTCTGTTATTCTACCTTTCAAATAAATAAAATAAATCTTTAAAAAAATTAAATATCGGGGTTGGCACTGTGGTGCAAGGGGTTAAGCCGTGAACTGCAGCAGTGACCTCCCACATGGATGCCAGTTCAAGTCCCGGCTGCTCCACTTCCAATCCAGCTCTCTGCTGTGGCCTGGGAAAGCAGTAGAAGATGGCCCAAGTCCTTGGGCCCCTGCACCCGCATGGGAGACACAGAAGAAATTCCCAATTCCTGGCTTTGGCCTGGCCCAGCTCCAGCCATTGCAGCCACTTGGGGAGTGAACCAGCGGATAAAACACCTCACTCTCTCTCTCTGCCTCTTTTTCTCTCTGTGTGTAACTCTTTCAAATAAATAAATAAATCTTTAAAAAAATCCATTAAAAAGATTAAATCTTAAAAACCCTTAAATGTATGAATTGCACTTGTCACTTACATAAGAGGAGTAAGCTAATGTCATTACATTATAAAAAACCTGTAAACACAAAAATACAAAAATAACAAATACCCAACCTTTGAGAATGGCGGAAAGCATGAAGGTCCCAGCAGCAGCCGGGGGCAGTAAAACAAGCACAGGCACTCTCACTTAGATAAAGCAGAATTCCTGGACAGGCAAGGGCCATTTTGTCCCGATTTAAACACTGGTCCCACCGCTGTCAGCAGGAAGGCTCAGGCTCACAATGGGAAGGAAGTGAATCATTTCGGAGGTCAGTTCTGCAACTTACCAACATGCCCACTGCCTCTTGTGTCGACTTCTAGGAATTCCTCTTCCCAAGGGCCGGCCCCTCCCACCCACACATAAATGTCCTGGATGTGGATTTCAGCCTTGTGTGTAGTGTCAGAAACTGTATCAATGAGGATCTCAATAAATCCTGCATTAGTTAGAAATCAGGTAGACGCTGTATTCTGATGTTGAGGAATATTCTGTGTCTAGAACTTCGTCCGTGAGTCTGAATGTAGGAGCGTGAGGCTATGGAGGGCACGGTGGTGGCTCCACTCCCGGATCTGTCACTGCAACGCCGGCCCCGGCACTCGATCTGGGAGCCTGCGCTCCCTGCTGCTCCTAGGGAAAGGGGCTGCGTTTGATTTTATTCCTTTTATTATTTGATTACTCTACTCCTTCTCCTCCATTCATTGTTTATGCCTTTATTCAACCTCTTTATTTATTTATTTATTTATGTCTTTGAGAGGCAGAGTTATAGACAGAGGGAGAGAGAAAGGTCTTTTATTTGCTGGTTCACTCCCCAAATGGCTGCAACGGCCAGAGTTCAGCTGATCCGAAGCCAGGAGCCAGAAGCCTCTTCTGGGTCTCCCATGAGGGTGCAGGAGCCCAAGAACTTGGGCTATATTCCACTGCTTCCCCAGGCCATAGTAGAGAGCTGGATCAGAAGTGGAGCAGCTGGGACTCGAACCAGTGCCCATATGGGATGCTGGCACCACAGGCAGAGGCCCAACTTACTATGCCACAGCGCCGACCCACAACCTCTTTTCTTTTATTTATTTATTTATTTATTTTTGACATTGACAGGCAGAGTGGACAGTGAGAGAGAGACAGAAAGAAAGGTCTTCCTTTTGCCATTGGTTCACCCTCCAATGGCCGCCGCGGCTGGCGCGCTGCGGCCAGCGCACCGCGCTGATCCAATGGCAGGAGCCAGGTGCTTTTCCTGGTCTCCCATGGGGTGCAGGGCCCAAGCACTCGGGCCATCCTCCACTGCACTCCCAGGCCATAGCAGAGAGCTGGCCTGTAAGAGGGGCAACCGGGACAGAATCCGACTCCCCTACCGGGACTAGAACCCGGTGTGCCGGCGCCGCAAGGCGGAGGATTAGCCTAGTGAGCCACGGTGCCAGCCAACCTCTTCTTAATGCTTAGCCAGATATCCTTCCTTTTCGAGACCGGGGCCAGCTGTATTCCTTGCTCATCTGGTCAGCTAGATGTGAGCCCCCAGGACATCAGCCTCCCCCCAGCCTGACCCCTCAAACATGCTCTCCCTTCCCCCTCCCACCCAAGCCCCGTTCCCCACCCTGTTGAGTTCCTTCCAGGTCCAGCACCTCCCTTGGCCCTGAGGTGGGATGGAGCCACAGCTCTGTTGCCGAGACTACACGAGGCTGTGCACCAGTGGCCCCGGGGCCCCACCCACTTTGGCCAG